ATCAATTCCTCAGATAAAAGATCAATTGTAAAACCCAGGAAACTCATTTTCTACACGGCAGCCAGTGTGAGCTTTTCGAAAAGCAAATCTGATAGCATCACCCCAACCTGACCTGACCTCTCCCAGCTCCACTCTGCTTGAAACACTTTCTTGCTTTCCAGGTCTTTAAGATAAGAATTTAAAAACCATTACAGAATTTGAAGGCCCTACCAGGATTGTCTCCTCTCCAAGTGCACTGCATATGCTATTTGGCCTTTCCATTCCTTCTAAGGACATCTTTGCCCAGCCCTTTCACAGCCCAGTGTGAAGCACTTCTGTGCCCTCAGCTCAGCGATGCCAGTGCTCACGTCCACACTCCCCAAGCCAGCAGCTCTCCCTTAGCCAGGAGGACTTAGGTAGAGCTTCGTCAAATCCATACTGCTCCTGCCCTATATTTGTCACATCTTAAGTTTATGTTTAGTTGTACATGTTTGGTAAAGACCTGGTTCTCCAGCAAGCTAGAACTCAGAGAAAGACCCCGCTGGATTTTCTTCAAGATTATATTTCCAGTATCCAGAAGCTACTAGCACATGGCTAGTACCCCGAGCATGAAGATTGAATGCAGATACACTTAAATATAAAGTCCAAATGGCACTCCAGGCTTTGCTATTTATGTACAGACCTCAAGAGCCATGATGTCATGAGCTGTCTCTTTGCCAAAGCACCAATGTGAAACTCCAGTGAGGGCCCCAGCAGCTGTTCATCTGTGTGCCAGTTGCCACCTCTTACAGGGTAGTTCCTATGAAGTTATGACAGCTTTGTTCTTTATGACAAATAACACCACCACCACTAAAAAGCAAAGCAAAGCAACAACTGATAATGCTGATGTCAAATAAGAAGAGCAAGTGAAATTATTTAATGCCCTCCTCTCTCATGGGAGATATAGGTGATGGGTGGATCATGAATTGGAAGGTTAATAATAGCTAACATCCATGGAATGTTTACTGTGGAGAAGTTCATCCCGGTGCTTGCATATGGTTTCTCATTTGATCCTCTCAACAGATTTATTTTTATCCTCCTTTTACAGATGAAGAAACAAAGATGGAGAGAGGTTAAATAATTTACTCAAGGTCACAAGGCTAGCACTGGCAGAGTGCATTTGAAGCCTCATGATTTGAAGCCTGTACTCTTAACTATTACCTGTGCCATCTCTCCCAGAGAGGTCAGGACACATCCCTAGCAGAGATCCAGGAAGTTCTTTAGTCATAGACTAAATATTGTCTGTCTATAGAGACAGTTGTTTCTCAGTCTAATACTTTGGGTTTGAATTAAACCTTTTTTTAAACAGCTAGATAGACTACTTTTAGTTCCTTTTCCATTACATTTTCCATTTCTAAATTACAGATTGATCATCTGTCTCTTTCCTGGATTCATGAATGTTCAATGGTTTCTCTTTACTTGCAAGAATACAACAAACTATTAGCCTGACATGTGGCCTCCATGATCTGGTCCATGCTCTGTCCTCTCGTATCTGCAACATTACTTCCTTTAAATAGGATTCTTAAGGAGGCTGCAACTCAAGGGCTTGAATGCTTCCTTGCCTGAAATGTGATTGTTCCATCTTGAGCTTATGCTCGTCCACTGAAGGCAGGTCACCCGGAGGGACAAATAGCATTGAGAATGACAATGAATATTACTTTTATTCAGTAAGGTTTTCAATAGTAGATTCAAATTCAATTTCAGAAAAGAATATTTAATATCACCTCTAGTGTTTTCTTTCCCTTAACAACTAAATCTACCAGGTCTTTAGAGTGGTTTTCTCAAAGTGTAACAAATTCTACTTTGTATATTATCTCTTCATGTTTAATTATAAGGATTTGAATTTGCAGCACCAATTAATCAGTAATTAGATAGTACTTTACCAAAAGAAATTAGACAAAGATAAAAACAAAAACACAACTCTGAACAAGGCCATATCATCTGGTATCATTTCGTTTTGCATGATAAAAATACTCCCTGAGAAATACGGGCTAACCAAGTTATTATTTCTTTGATACTTTTATTGTTGTTAGTGACCCTCCACTGCCAATGGGAAACAAAGATGATTTAAAGACAAAAGCACTCTGATTATACCATTTCCTCTTCTCTTCACTCTTTATGAGAAGTTTACTTCATGACAATAATTATTTTGAAACGTACTCACAGATTTGGCAATGCAAAATAATTTCATATTTTATTATGATAACTTCTTTATTGATTTTCATATAAAAACACATAATTCAGTATTTAATTATCAAGTAGACCTCTAAAACAAATGTTTATCTAGAATATGAAAAAACAAAGAGGATAAAAAGCAGTATAAAGAAGGAGAAATAAAGATCCCTAAAACCAGGGACTCCCCTGGTGGCGCAGGCGGTTAAGCTCAGTGCTGTGAGGCTGTCCACAGCCTCTGCAGTGCGGGTTCGATTCCGGCCCGCCGGCGAGAATCCCACATGGCATGGCAGACCTCTCCTGACTCTCCCGCTGCTCCCCTCAGCTGTGTATTTCGTCAGTCTGCCTGTTCTGTTCCCCACTCTGTCTCTGGTGAATCCTCTCACCCTCCTGCACATCTGGCATGTACCCTGGTTCTTGTATGCATGAATAAATAAATCTTTAAAAAAAAAAATCCCTAAAACCAAGACAGAGGCGAGGAAAAGGTGAGACTGGATAGCAATTCCCTTTAGAAATCAGGACCTTACCCCACAAAGTTATGCCATTTCCCTGTGGCAGACCCCTGGGCCTCTTATCCAGGTTCTTAACCCTTTTGTGAATAAGAGAAATCAAAAAGAGCAGTCAGCAGCTCCTATAATTTGGACTCAGAAGGGACAGCAGAGCAGCCTGCTCCTGTGTGCCCTGCACTGGGGTGGACTGGTCCTGACGGCTGGGGTCTGGGAGGACAGTAACAGGAGACCCCGTGTCTACATGCAGTCTGTATAACCGGCCTTTCTCCATTGGGGCCCCCAAGTTATTCCTTCCCCTGTGACCATAACTATATGGGGAGTTTGAGCCAACAAAACACTCAAAATTAATTTAAGGTGCTTGATAGCCTTTCCCTGGTGGTGTTGCAAGAGACTTTATTTCTGTGGGGAACTGACATCACCTTTACTCCCAAGTGCAAGAATTTTATAAATTGTGCATATTGTAGAATCTTGAAATGGTAAGCCAAAGGAGCAAGCAGTTCTTTCCTAAGTGTGGAACATCGTCTTGCAAACCTCTACAGAGTGAATGTCACTGAGGTGTACTCTGAGGTGTGCTTTCCTGGAGTATTTTTAATTAACAGTCTTTGAAACAAATCATTTATCTCATGACTGAACATTTTGCTGAAAAAGAGAATAAGGTACTTTGAGAAGAACTATAGAAGAAAATTCCAAAGATTCTCATCTTTTGACACCTTGGGTTGGAAGAGTAGAATTTGATCAGCAATTCAGCATCATGGTGGATATTAAAGAGTCAAGTTGTAATAATATTTGTAACTTTTTGATGAAATTAATTAATCAGCCTTACCCCAAAATTGGGAACCCTTTGATTTTTCTTCATTTTCGGACTCTTTCCCCACTGTATTGTGAAGCGATAGCAAAAGTTTCTATCTCTGAGTTCATTGCTTTTACAAATTATATAGCAAACCTGTGAATGAAAGCCACATTTGTCTAAGTGATAATACATTTGTTGATATGGCTTATTAATCCTCTATTGTGCTTGTTCAACTGTTCCTAATTTGAAAATGTTCATTTCTCAGGAGGTAGTGCAATTTATCTGATGTCAATGTACTACATAAATTTTTGCCTCTCGATATTAATTTCTATATTGAAATAAGCTCATACAAGCTGACTCTGTTCACAATGATCATTATCTTATGAACCTTTATTCAGGGTTAACTGGCCAAAATTAATGAACCAGAGCAACTTCTTCATCTCAATGTATGATCACCAATGTCTCTTCACTCTAACAACTTGGTCACTTACACCTGTGACCCAGCCTGCCTCTAACAGAAAGTAAAGCAGAGCCCTAGAGTTCAAACACCCTAATTGCATTTCTCTTCCACTCTCCCATTGCAGCAGATGTGGTTAATGCTCAAGACAAACACTTGGGAGCCACCCTAGCTAGATCTCCCACACTCAGGGCATCAGCCAGTCCTACCAGATTCTCTGCCACTGTTCCCACCCTAGCACAAGCCACCATTGCCTGTCATCTGCACTCCCAGCTGTATCTCCTTACTGGCCTCCCCGCTTCTGTTCTGCTTTCTCTAAAATCCATTCTCCATATAGTAGCTCAGTTATTTTTAAAATATTAATTATGTTATATCTTTATGCCTACTTAAAGTCTTCCACTGACTACCTGTTCCACTCTGAATAAAATAAAACGCCTTCCATGTCCATACACCCCAATCGATCACGCCAAATTGCTCTCCCCTTTCTTCAAATATCTCATGCCCATTCCTGCAGCCTGGCCTTTACACAGCTGTCTCTTCTGCTTGGAGTGCATTTCCCACCTCCTCTGAACGGGCTCCTCCCCCCTCATACTTCATCTCAGCTGTCACCTCCTCAAGGAAACCTTCCCGCACCTTAAGTGCAGCCAGTCACTGTGTGTCAACCTGTTTATGTCCTTCAAAGCACTTGTCACTGTCAGAACTTGTTATGTTCCCTTTTGCTTGTTTACTCATAGTTGTGTTTCTCCCCATTAGCCTTGCCTGTTTTCTACACATCACCCGTGCTTAGAATACTACCCATCAGCATACTCTCAATAGACACTTGTTCGATGAATGACCAATGGATGATTGATCTCTTCCTAATATATGATTTTGACAAAATCACTTCCTCTTTGGACCCCAGCTTCCTCTTCTTTACAGTAAAGCTAACAAAATATTGCATTTTCATTGGAATAAGTTCAAGGAGTAAATGTGTGTGGTAGCATGTAGCACATGGTATTGGCCCACTGTAGGTGCTGAGAGAACACAATTAACAGTGCCCCTCCCTATTTTACAGGAAATCTTCAGAGGAACTGGACATGGACAAGGTCACAGCCGCAATGGTACTAACCAGCTTATCTACCAGTCCTTTGGTTCGAAGCCCTCCAGTGCGACCGAATGGTAAGCCTGGGATATACAGGGCATGAGGAAGCACCCCTGGATAGCCAGAGTAGAATCTCTCTTTGAGAGATCGCATTCCAATCAAATACCATGAATAACTAGCCCTTCTCTGCTAGCAAGAAACGAGGAGGAAATGTGGAAGAAATGGTGACCCCAGATCTATCAGCCTTCTTCTTATCTCCCCAGACACCCCACTGATCTCATTCATACCTCTATCCATCGAACTCTCACTTATCAAGCTCTACCACCTTTCCAGAAGACATCTTTGCAGTCCTTGTGTGCTTTTTCCCCAGGAGCATGGAGATTGGTAATGAAGTTATTTCCCCAGCATTATTTCTGTTTGATTGGAGAGGTAGTTGAGTTAAAGAACCCTAAAGATTAAACATTTTTAAAAAGTATTCCCAGACTTCTTAATCAAATATCATTATTTTGTTCATACATTCATTTTATATATATTTTCCAGGCACCTGCTAGATGGCTTGAATACAATATTGAAAAATAGTGTCCATACTCCTAAATAGTATAAGTCTCTTTAGGAAGAGAAGAGGAATACTAATCATAGCCATAGGAATAGCTAGCATTTATTGAGCTAATATGTGCCCAGTATTAGGCTTGCTGTATTTCATGTAATTCCCACAACTCTATGAGATATTATCACTATTTTATAGATGAATAAACTGAGGTACATGGGGATTAATTACTTGTAAATAGCAAAGCTGAAATTGTGATTCCTTATCTCTCTGATTCCAGATCTACTTTTTTTTTTTTTTTTTTTTGTGGGACCCTCACCAGCGGCCGGGGAATGAACCAGCGCTGCAGAGGCTGCGGGCAGCCTCGCAGCCCAACGCTCAACCACTGCGCCATCAGGGGAGGCCCAGATCTACTATCTTAATCATGATATAATATTGACTCATAAAATTCAATATGATAAATCAGGAGGACAGCAGGAGATGAAGTTGGAGAGCCTTGCAGGAGATATCTCATAAGGGGATATGTATGCCTGGTGAGGAGTTTGGAATTAATCTGAGGCTACAGAAGAGGTTTCAAGGTGACTTAGGCACTGGAAAAATATAATGGGGAGTATAGAACAAAAAAAAAAATTGTATGGTGTCCTCAACCTTGGTGGTCACAGTGGGGATGAATAGAGTATAATTGAGAAGTGTGAAGAAGGTCAAATCAACAGGACTTCGTGATGAACAGAGAGGATGAAGGAGGGAGAATAACAAAGTGACTTCCAGCCAGATGATATGCATCTGCAAGCAGGTTCACTGCCTGGGACAGGAATCAAAGGCAAATTGATCTAATGGTGAATGTTTGGGGAAAGAGGTAGGGTTGCTGAAAAAAAGATAACTCCAGTTTGAACCATGTTTAGTAGGCAATACCTGAAGATCATAACAATCATATCTGATGGAGATTTTAGTGAAGTCTCAGAGAGAAATCCGGGCTGAGGATGAAGAATTGAAAGATAACATTGAAAGATAACATTTTGAAGTCATGAGAGTAGATGACCTCACCCTGAGAGAGCTGTGTAGTCATGGAGACAAAGAGAAGATGGCAGAGGAGGGGGGAGTGGTGAGGCTCCATCATGTAAGGGAAGAGAACCTAGGAAGAACTCAAGGGATGACAGGAGAAATAGAGGAGATCAGAAGTGTTTTTTCCAAGAAACCAAGGGAAAAATTATCTTTTGGGAGAGATAGCTGATGCTTCAGAAGGTCAAGCATGAAAAGCACAGAATTTTGCCCCAAAAAGAAGTTCGCGAGTGGTTTGGGGAAGCACATTCACAGCGGGCTAGCCATGAGTAGAAGCCAGATTGCAGGTCACTGAAATGTAATGCACTGAGGCCACTGAAAGAAACATAGCTGCAAGGGAAAACTTGTGTCAAGCCAACCTAGTCAATTATGGATTGTGCTGTTGTTCACACTTAATGTGGATGTAAGAAGAGGTGTTAAAATAAATTTATTGAATGCCTATGAGTCCTCACCAAAATGTATTCCAGTTATAAGTAGGAAAAATGATCAGAATGCTGGGAATTCAAGTTAATACCATAAATCAGTCACTTGCCATCATGATTGACAAGCTAGGGTGAGGCCCAGCTAAGGTAAGCATAGCTAAGGTGGCGCAGCAGGTTGAGCACAGCGCCGTGAAGCTGTCCGCAGCCTCTGCAGCATGGGTTCAATTCCCAGCCGGCCAGAGAGATACCCACATGGTGCCGCATACCTCTCCTGTGGCGCCCACTGCTCCCCTCAGCAGTGTCTTCGGTCCGTCTGCCTGTTCTGCTCCCCACTCTGTCTCTGGTAAATCCTCTTACCCTTCCGTGCCTCTGGCCTGTACCCTAGCTGTTGTATAAAAAAAAAAAAAATCTTTAAAAAAAAAAAAAAGAATAGCTAAGGTAAACCTGACCACACCTGTTGCTATCCTGGCCTCTTTACTCAAAGCCTCTTGGCAAACAGGTGTCCTGATTTCCCTCTCTCAAGTTGGCAACACCGCTAAGAAGGATTACCACAAAAGCAAAACTGAAGGTCCACCCAAAAAATCCTATTCTAGGAAAAAGGAACTGCAGAAATTCATGGAATTCTCAGAGGAGGAAAATTTATTTTAACATAATCATTATTTTAACATAATTTATGTTAACATTATTTTAACATAATCTTTTTAAATTGGGAACATTAAAAATGTTCTTGTCTTGAAAAGTTAGAACTCAAATAAACCTTTTGCTCCTTTAAGGCATACTTTTATTAGCAGAATTCTAAAGAAACAAATTCAGAATTCATCAGCATTTGAAAACTACCCAACTAATAATCCTAAATTGCCTTCTATCTCTGATTTAATTTTAAAAAAGCAATTTATCACCAAAAAGTCTAATTTTTTTAGATGGAAATCATTTTATTTATAGAAATTAAATCTATACAGATATAGAGATTGAACATGTAGAACTAAATCACTTTTTGGGAACTGCAGTGATCCTTTTCTGTGCCCAAAAGGATCATATTGTCAGCATGTGGGTCTACAAAAAGAGTGAGTTTCTAGCAGTGCCTTTTTGGCATATATTGGTTTCAGAGAAGGAGACATTGCTCTCTAAAAAATATTATGAATTGATTCTGACTTTTTTCTAAAAAACTTATTTTTATATCACATTGTCTTTCTGATTAAATAGTGTTTCTGCAGAAATGTCATTGCCAAGTAAGCAAATGAACAGGATATTTATTTATTTATTTGGCATTGACATGAAGCAATGTAACCACATTGTAATAATAGTTGGTTCTCAAAATAAATTCAGTCCCACATATTTAACATGATTACACATTTAGCACCATGAACTTATTTTATAAGCGTATGCTGCAGTATATTTATAAGCCTCCTGGGCCTGCCAAGTGAGTTTGTCACACTAGGTAATATTACCTAAGGCCCTACATTAGGCTCCTCTTTGAAGCTGTCTTATATGGGATGAAGCATTCTTATTTATAATAGGCAACTCGGATCCAGTGAGTGCTTCATTCTCTGTGTAGACTGCAGGGAGTGAGAAGCTGATTTGGTTTTGTTGATGTTGGCAAGGCGTGAGCCTGCATAAATGACATTTGATTCTTTAGAATCTTGCTTTAATGAGATGGGTAACTTCTGATGTTACAACTCAAAACTTCACTCCTCTAACTGAACTTTTTACTTCATATACCTGAGGAATATGCTGGAAGTCTATAATTAGGTGAAACTAGTCAAGAAGTTTATCCATGAATGTTAGTCTACTGTTTCTCTTCACTTCATTACCAATTATGCAAATGTTAACAGTATTTTTTTAATGAGGCAATTTGGGATTTTCCCCCCTTGTAGTTAGAATATAGCTTTAATATATTCCAAATACACATAAATATGGAGAAATTATTTGAAAAGAAAGTAGAATTTATACAAATGTTAATTAAGACTGGGCATCTGGAATAGTAGAGCAAATCTTCAGTGATTAAAAGAACTCCCCTGAAGACATTCTAGCTGAGCAAAGATCTTTCTACCTTAGCAAACATTTCGTAATGTTTTTTCCCACAAGTGGCAGGGTAAAATTCAACACCAGTCTTATCAGTCATTAATACCAATAAACTCTTCTCTGATCTCAGCTTTTCTGGAGATAAAAGAAGAGGCTCACAACACAGGACCCACATGCACTGTCAGAGAGAGAAGGTCAACAGGTAGACCAAGGTTTCAGCCTGGGGCCCAAATGCAAATCACTAAATTTCTGGTGCACAAGGTTCTCATCTGTAAAAGATGCATAATAATCCTTATTCTGAGAGACAGTTGTGAGAATTCATGAAGTTGCATGACTAAGCATTGTGAGAATGTAAAACACCAAAAATAAGTCACTACCAGCATGGGAAACGACTTTAGGTAGAAAAACTTTACAGAGAAATTATTATTTCTCTTAGCTTCTTAAATCTGAGATTAACTTTTCCACGAAATGTACTCCAAGGACCACAGTCCTTATGAAAATTTCTTTTAAAAACTTAAAATGAGGGAGAAACACTGTGACCAAATACTGAAAATGATTTCCCTCTTAGAAATACTGCAGTCAATAAATACAGAGCTCCCCAAACTTAGCAAGTTTGTGGTTTCTTGTTTTATTTTTTTCTTATATTCGTCACTATCACCCTAAGGAACTAACGGTACATGAAACACATCCGAAAACTGCTAGAAGAACCTGTGATCATGTGGGTAGATGACTGTTTATAAACATTATGTGGCTTTTTTAAAGAATAAATAGGGTAAAAACTTCCATACCCAGCTGTTGCAAATAACTGAGCGGGCTGAAAGTGCTTTCGCAGTGATAGTGTTATAGGACAGCCCCGATATTAAACGGGTTCCTGGCTGTGGGTCCTCACCCGCGCGCTTAAAAGGGACTTATGAATACTCCACTACAGGCACACACAAAAGGTTAATAAAAGGTTTATTTACAAGGGAAAAGGAAATAAGGAAAATGTACAACTCAGGGAGAAAATAGGGAAATAAAGTCTTTAATGCGTCCTACCCGATCCGACGACCTGGAAACCCAAAGGCACTCTCAAGAGCTGGCCGGACGCTGTGAGCTGGCGGAGAGCCAAAATGGGGGACCCCTCCAAAGCCCACGTGTCTGGCTTTATACCAACCTGGCTGCTTAACCCCACCCTCAGGTCCCAGCCACTTTCCCTTTGGTGGTAATGGGATTTGGAGTTCCCAGTGTCTTTGGTTTTGGCCTGGGGTGCGGGTGGAGCCCACAAAGCCTGTATGGAATTAGCTTTAGGACATCCTTTTCCCCCTAACAATAGGATCAAGGGCCCTATCCCCCACCCCGGGGCTCACCTCGGCTGGGTATTGACGCTGTGTTTGTGGCCTGGACAGAGGGGCTCAGCGGATCCTGGAAGGAGGCCGGGGGCGTGCCGTCGAGCACCAGCAGCAGCGGCTACTGGAGCTGGAGCGCCCCCAGCGACCAGTCCAACCCGTCCACGCCGTCCCCGCCGCTGTCTGCCGACAGCTTCAAGCCCTTCCGCAGCCTGGCGCCGGCGGACGATGGCATCGATGAGGCAGAGGCCAGCAACCTCCTCTTTGACGAGCCCATTCCCAGGAAAAGAAAGGTTGGTTTGTTGACTACGTGGCGCCCTTTCCTTAGTCGCGTGAACGTGCTTTGCATCTGCTCTTAAAGGGATGAATTGAGCTTAGGGGCTGAATCTCACACTCCTCCAGCCCCTTTTGATGAATAGAAGCAGGTATGTGACTAAAACATTGATACATTTCTTCAACGTAATCATGCTCTCCCATTCTGGGTGATAATTGCTGAGCTGGCCAAAGAGTTAGCGTCAGGTAATCTAGGGCTTAACTCTCTTGGCAAGTTATGAAACTGAACTCCAAGGTAGGTTTCTTTTGGTGGGTCTTCTTTTTTTTCCCTCTGTAAAATATAATTGATATCAGTTTCTCTTTTCTGCTTCAACCTGCCCTGAATGTGTTGTTGGAAAGAGTGTTTTGCATCTTATTTTTATAAAACCGAATGTGAAATTTACATTGTTGTAGAAGTGAATTCTAGCCTTTTACCCAGGCAGAGGAAGAACAAGAGGTACTTCAGGAATGGTGAGGTCAGGAGAAGCTTTATTACTCATGCATGAGGTCGCAGACCTGGGTAGTCCGGTAAGGTCTGAGCACCCGTTTAAAGACCAAGGTTCCTTTTATGCACAACTCTGTCCATATCTGTTACATTGATAGCATCATTTTTCAGCAGGCACAACCATTTGTGGTGAAATCCCCAGACAAGGGAGGCAAGGCAAGGGGGGGAAAGATGCAGGCATTGGGGCATGGCTTTGGAGAGACAGACCAACTAGTTGGCTGCCTGACCTTGTAGATAAGGGTGCTGAGGCCCTGGCCATGAATCTTGAAAGGGAAAGAGCTGTAAGTAAGCAAACTTATTAATTGTTGTTTGCGATTGCACTGGTCAGAATTGTATTTAAGTGTTACAGACTTCAACTAACTTAGGGGAGAGTCACGTACTAGAGGAAAAAGAAAAAAAAAAACTTCCTAACAAAAGAACATTGGAGTGTTCATTGCACCTGGGCTGGAAGTTCTGCTGGAATCTTTATTATATTCATTTGCTCAATAATGTATTTTTGCTTCAACATGAAAACTGACCTATGAATATATGTGATAAATATATGTGCATCCCTACCAAAAATTATATATTTCCTAAATTAAGAATAAAAGGAATTCTAGGGCCTCCCTGGTGGTGCAGTGGTTGAGTGCTGGGTTGCAAAGCTGCCCACAGCCTCTGCAGTACTGGTTCGATCCCCGGCTGCTCCCCGGCCACTGGAGGAGGGTCCCACATGGCGCGCAGACCTCTCCTGCCGCCCGCTGCTCCCCTCAGCAGTGTACTCGGTCCTTCTGCCTGCTCTGCTCCCCGCTCTGGCTCTGGTGAATTCTTTCACCCTCCCGCGCTGACTGTACCCAGTGCTTGTATAAATAAATAAATAAAAATAAATCTTAAAAAAAAAAAAGTTAAAAAAAAAGAATAAAAGGAATTCTAATAAGTTGATTTAATAAATGAAATATTATATTTTCATTTACTCCTCATAGCAGACCTGTAACAGTATTATTTTCCCATCTTGAGATGAGGAAATTAAGGATCAGAAAGTCTACATTAAATTCCACCCTCCGCCCCTGTTGTGCAGGTTAGAATAAGCCAAGCTGCCCTTTAACCCCTTTAAACCTGAAACTCATATTCTTTTCATTCTCTTCACATACATTTAAATTATGTTCACTCATAATTTTTAAAAATCATTTCTGTTTCATAGAATAAAGCAATACCATTGCTATACCGAGAAAACATTGTAACACTTCTATATTATTACCATTTAAATATGAAATTCTTGTTTTTTATTTTGGTCTTTTATTTGGTATTGGTAACTTCATTATTAATGATGATTCACAAAGGAAAATTCAAAACCAAACCCTGAGGACTTCAATACAACCTCGTCCCTCCAATTCAGTTCAAAGAAAACAAAGAGATGGCATTGAGCCAACACCATATCTCCGGGCAGCTCTCTTAACATCATTCCCAGGTTATATAGGCAAGCTTTACCCAGAGACCAAGTATTAATGTAGTCTCCTGTCCTTCCTGGAGGCAGTGGTTTGAGGAGCTGCTGTTTCACACAGAGTTCATCCAGCAGGGGGGCTAGAGTTGTTCTGGCATTCTGTGACTCCCCAGGGATGCAGGGTCTTCGCTTGACTAGTCTGGGAGAGCGAGTGGCACTTGTAGCAATGGGAACATGCAGGCAGGACAGATGCATAGACCTGAAGTCTTATCCTGTTGCTTCAGGCTGCACAGACTTTCTATCTAGGGTCATCCGAGCATGATCCAGGCTCTCATCAGGCAGGGCCCAGCCCTTGACAAAAACTCAGAGCACAGTATGTGTAAAGTTCACTGTTGAAAACTCAGAGCCTTAGATTGCTAAAGTAGCCATGAGACAAAATTCATCCTCTTGCATTGCAATGCGATTGCACTGATCAGAATTGTATTTAAGTGTTACAGACTTCAACTAACTTAGGGGAAGTTAACTTCAACTAACTTTCCTCTAGTAATAGAGGAAAAAGAAAAAAAAAACTTCATAACAAAATGGCATTTATAGAATCTTTTTTGTTTTTTTAAGATCTAGTTAGTTCTTTGCTGCCCAGGTTAGACCAGCAACCAAGTCTCTCTTGGCATCCTCAGCTCTGGGTTAAGGAACCTCTAGGAGGATTTCCAGCACTGTGCTGCCCTGTCTTCTCACCCCTTCCCCTACTGGCTCCTTCAAACATCTTTCATGTCATCACATGCTTGGTGCTAGTTGCAGTCTGATTTTCTACTGAGATGTAAATGGCCATATACAAGTGAGTCTTGTGGTCTCAGAAGCCCGAGTTCTTTCTGTCCCATACTTAGTGTTTAGCTCGCAGACAAAATCGGCAGTTATGTCCTGGTCGGGAACCCTCCACTACTCCTGTCTCCTCTGGCATTTGAGTTCTCTGTTCAAATATCTGATTTACCAATAATCCTTTGGAAGATAGATCCACAGGCCAAAGCAGGAACTCAAAAGTACAAAACCAGCTTCATTGTGACTTTGGGATATGGTTTGGGATTTTGCCACTTTCTGAGTTTATTAGCATTGATTCGTTGGGCTAAAAAATGGCATTTATTTGAAGTGGGCACAGACCCATCCCACAGGATGCTGGATAATAGGAATAAGCAAACACTCAGAACTGAGTTTATCTGTCTTTCTCTAGGACTTCATCTGTAAAACAGTCAAACAAATTTTAGCACACGTGTCTCAGGACACTCATGAAAATTAAATGTGAACTTAAGTAGAAAAACTCTTACAACCCCCAAGCCCCCATGTACTAAAAATGGGATATATCATGATAGACATTTAGAACCCCAAACAAAAGAGGAGGTGGCATTTCCTATATCTGATAATGAAGCAATAGTCCTTACCTTTCCCCTCATATGGAAGCTCTCTTTCATCTATACTCCCATAAAAGGACTCCTCATTCTCATCTCTTTCTGTCCACTGTGCACTTATATGACAGAGGAAAAGCATGATGTGCATTATTATCTCACTATCAGTAGTGAGGAAAAAATATTTGCTGATAATAGCTGCATTTGCACACTTAGTTGTAGTTTACAAAATGCTTTTAAATGTAGCAGTTCATTTAAACATCACAAAAATGCTTGGCATATTCTTTTTCCCATTTTGCAGAAGAGAATCTTTGAGATTATGTAAATTGCCCAAAGTCATGTAGCTCATATGTAGCAGGGATAAGATCAGTTTAGCTGAAATAGCAAAGAGGAAATTCTTGGGACAAATTAATTCAAAGAATCCACATTTTCCTCCGCCCACAGAGGAGAATAACGTAGAAAGGAACTAATGAGACACAGCTACAACCAACTTTACATGGCAGGGTGGAAGTGGGGAGTGCCAGAGCATTTGGAAAGAAATCTAGGGCAGCGAGAACTCCAGGCTCTCTGCTGAGAAAACCACCTTACTGCATGAAGGACCCTCACTCTTAAGAGAACTTGAGCCAACGTAGGAAGGAATGTGAGAAGGGGAATGAAAATCTTTCTTCTGGGTCTAGAGATAAGTCAATCAACTGTGTCAAGCCCAGTTCTAACAGAATTTTTACTCTGAGATTTCAGACAGTAATTCCACGCTCAGGGAAAACCCTGGTAATGTGAGCCAGGAATCTGGGTCTGTGGGTGCAGTTCCCATCATGACCACAAGGTGACGCAGTGACCTTGGATACCTCTCCTGGAGTTAGAAAAATTCTATGTAAAGATAGCTTTAACCATCAATCCAGAAGACCTCTAGAAAATCAAAACATGCTGATAACTAATTAGAAATGTGCTTTTCTCCATGTCAGACTCCTGATTCCTTTAGGTTCTGTGTTTTTCTACTCCTGCACAAGATAAAATACTTTAGGGTGTGGAATTTACACTCCAGCTCTAATATTTATGAGACCTTAAGCAAAACTCACTTAACCTCTCTAAACCTCAGTTTCCTCATTTGTTGATGATTCCACCACATTGATAGGGTTGTTGTGAGGATTATATGAACAATAAACATGAGCTACGAATATTTTGCTTTCTCTTTTGCCCATTTTCCCATTTTGCCCATTTGACTATATAGGAAATTTGAGAATCATGGGTATGAAGAAAAGGAGGTGCTTGTCTCTTTCCTCCCTTCTGACCCTATATTGACCCGTTAATGCCACAGGATGTCACTGGGCCCCTCGGACACCTGATACTTAATTAGGGTTAATGGGAGAGGCCAGCCTATGATGAAGAAAAGGGTCAGGGCAGTTATAATGGTGACAGAAATTGGAGGCCATATAAGGAAATCTGACTCAGGACTCTAGATTCCAGATTAACAGCAACTCAAAGGCAATCACTGAATTCCAGTCTTCATCATTTTCATTTATTTCACAGATGTCTTGACTATGCAGTTTTACCTGTGGAGTAGAGAGAATATCAAGTCAGAGAAACATGCTGAGTTAACAAAAAATGCTTCAGTAATAGTCGTGCAGTAGTAAACAATGAATTAATCATTTGCTCCACTCTGCATTTTCAATCTTTCAGAACCAAAAAGTAATGAATCACTTTAAACTGTGAATGACTGCTCTGAAAAGAAAACAAACCCAGAAAGTCCTCACGAATAAGCATGTTGCCAGTCTCTGAGCTGACTTAATTCCTAACCCACTAATTTTGAGCAGAGAGCACCTTCTGCAAGAACTGCTGCTCCAGAAATAGACCCATCTGTTAGAGCTGCTGGGGAGGGCGGTGCTAAGAAAAGCAGCTCAGGGTCACACTGTACAGATTTCTCAGTGATGACACAGCATCGCCAGCCAGAATGGAGGAGCTGATTGGATGAGGGTAAAGAAGAGTGAGGGCTAGGCAATTTAGCGACAGGATCTTAGAATAACCTGCCACGCAGTACATAGGACCTGGAACATTGGAGCTCAGAGGACTTCAGAAATTGTCCAGATCACTTACCAAATCTAGAAACCTACAGATATTCCCAAAGATATTCCCAAAGATGAGACGCACTTTTACAATCCACGGGTCAAGAAAATATATAGTGACTATGAATCTATATGAAGTCATGAGTGCTTTTGTTTTTATTATAGAAATCCGTTAAAATCAGCTTTACTTAGGTATCATTTCCACATGATAAAATGAACACTGAGTTTGACTGTGTCCACCTGTGTAACCACCATGCCGGTTAATACCAGCAGGCAGATGCCTCCCCTCGCCACAGGCAACACTGATCTGACTCCCGTGACTATAGATTCATTTTGCTAATTATAGAAACTTAAGGAAGTGGGGACAGTGTGCACTTTTTGCTGTACAAAATACCAGATTTAGGAACAGGAACTCATTTTATTGCTGGTGGGACTGTAAAATGGTACAATCACTTTGTAAAACAGTTTGGCAATGTCTTATAAAGTTAAGTATACCCTTTCCCTGCTACCCAACCATTTTGTTCTTTGATATTTACCTAAGAGATAAGAAAATGTATATCCACAAAAGGATTTGTAAACAATTAGTCGTAAGAGTTTTATTCATTATTACCTAAAGTGGAAAACCCAAATGTCCATCAATTTGAATAAACAAGTTGAGGTACATTCATACAATGGAAAACTATAGCACCATAGAAGGGAAGAAACTATTAATATATGGAACAGTGGGTGGTCTCAAAACTTTGTACTGAGGTAAAGAAGCCAGAGACAAAGGAATACATTCTGTATTTTATGACAAAAACTTTTTTTGTTATCCTCACAATCTATCAACAGTGCTTATTAGGTGGGAGGTGTTTAATCCATGCTTGGCATATATTTTAATTCACCCATTGCTTTGTATCACCCTCATATACCTTGTAGATGCCAAACCACTAATCTTGCTCAGTTCTCTTATTTAAAAAATAAAAAAAATAAATAAAGCTCTGTAGTGGCGAGATGGCGTGTATAAGGCTGCTTTCCCAATAAAGGAAAGAACTGGAATCCCTACAGTTTTGAGACAGTAGCCAGATTTCCAAATATATCTGTTCACTTACTAGTCTTTTAGAACCTGCTGAAGGTCTGAGTGGAACTCTTGATCCTAGAGAGCAACTGGCACCTCCACCCAGGGGTGTGGGTTCCCATGAGGCAGGCTGTGAAACGTCGAATGCAGCTGCACAGAAAAATTGGATCCTTTCTTTCCCAGAGACCATGGTCAGAGACTTGGATACATGAACATCGTCCCTACCCCCACCCAGCACACACACACACACACACACACACACCAGTCATCATGTAAAACATACCTGAGCACCTTCTCAATTCCCTCAGTAAGAAATGATCCATAAACAGGATCAAGGATTGTCACAGGAAGGGTGAGCAGAGAGGTGAGGGAAGCCTCAGCCAAACATAGCAGCCTGTTGCCCAAAGAAGTTGGTGTCAGGCAGTCTGAGAGCTAGTGAAGAATCTCCAGGAAGTTCTCTCCAACCATCAGAGCCCACAGGCTCAACATTAGGTGATTCTAAAGAGCTTGCCTGGAAGCTGCTGCATATCTCACTTCGGGTTCATGTGAGATTCCACGAGTCTGCTTGTGACGGCTGGGAGCTGATCCTCCTGGGAGTGGAAGTGGAGTGTGAGTAAGGCAAATGTGTGAAGACCCTAACACATCGCAGTTCCTGAGCACAGTGGCCTCCCTCTACTTTATGCAGCTTTGTGAATATCTGTGAGAGATGCGCCGAGAAGCCGGGGTTGAAGCACAAATTGTTCAGACTTGGCTCCTGCAACTGCCAGCAGCTTTGCTTGCTTTGGTTTCATTGGGCGAGCTTGTACCCGTGGGCAACCTGGACGTCGTTTATTGAGCTATGTTTTCCTGTTCTTCTCTTCCCATAACTTGCTTTCCTTTAATGCAACAGCAAGCAGCCTATTTGTAGACAAAGGACTTGTTTCCATTGAGGGTGTTAGGGACTTTGAAAAGTACTTCATTGCCATTTATGGGGTCTCATAGTTTAATGCAAGAACATCCTTTGCTTGTGTAGATTGAGGCCATTTGATTTCATTAAAGTTGACATAATGATGTTCGTGTACTTGTGCTCTCTGTAATTACTTCAGCAGGTATTATAGAGTGACCTCCATTTTTAAAGAAATAACTTTCTCATTAAAGATGGGGTATTTTTTAAATTTGCTATTAATGAATGAAAAGTAAGATAACCCTGCCCCAATATTTCTGCCATACAATAATGCATTCTTATTTGCATTCTGTACCCCAGCTCCTCCCCACAAAAGATGATGTTTATATTCTTTTGTAACTTCTTTTCCCCTGCATCAGTCAAGGATCTAGCAAGAGGCAGGTAGTATACCCAAGTGGGGTAATTGAGAAGAGTTCAATAAAGAGGCCACTTAGTGTAGACAGGATTGGGGAAAGTAGATGGATGTGATGCATTACCTGAGCAGCTAACAACAGAGCATGGCCATTTCCACTCCTAAGCCTGAGAAGGCGAGTAAAGAAAGGGGTCTCCAGATCCCAGAGGGCTATCAGAATTCTGGAAGAGCAGAGTAGCATTTTGTCCAGGAGAATTTAGTCACTGTTTGCTGGTAGCCTGGCAAAAGGCCGCTGAGGAATTCATCCTCTCCTGCCTCCCAGGGTCTTCTACCTCCTGAACTCCTATCAGTGCCTCCACTTTGCAAATCAACAGAAATTTTCTCTGCGCATCTAAAGTGTAAAGGCCTTCTAATTGCTAATGCTAATGACCTGAGACATTATAAATTAGAAAATAATTTTCCTGCAGTAGATTTTCCATCCTCTCCTGGTGAACTTAGACCTTTCTCAAGTTGCTGCCAATTGAAGGTGTATAAGGTTGGAGTGAAAAAAGTATAATATGGAGTGAAGAGGAAACCATGTATAATTCAGTGCCCATCATCACCACGGATCTCCCTTGAGAAGGCAATTTACAGCCAGAGAAGGTAATCAAGTGGCAATCATGCTGGGAAATCATCTTGAATTCTACAGAATGATAATCTTTTTGAAAAACATTTTTTGAACATAGATTGTTTACTAAGTAAATTCTAAAATGACTAAGTAAAGATGTCTCAAATATGCCTCATTGCCCCAAAACACATCTTAGCCAAGATTCAACACAACAAATACTTACTGGTATGTTTTGTTAGGCGTTGCAGTAGCATGTTGGGCTAGAAGTCCTGATTCTTGCTCTCAAAGAGCTTATGTTGCTAAAAACTATTTAGTCTATCCCCCAACATGCCTCTTGAAAATTCAGCAAAATTAAAAAGAAAGAAGGAGGCAAAATTGATCATATTTTTTCATATCCACTGTAAATTTCTTGGGGCAACAGATTTCTTTGGGCTCCTCAGCAGAGTTCCAGCCAGACAAGGTGTGGGCGTTACTGAGGAGATAATGCTCAAATAATTTATCCTAATTCTATAGGATTTAGAGGATAGTGATCAACTTTATTGTATTTTGGGGTTTGATGTCTCTTTATCAGCCTCTGGAACTGATGAATGATAACTAAAGAATGGAATTATGCTAATGACATTTATTTTCCTATAATCCATATCAAGTTTGTTACTTACAATTTGAAGACCAACGTGACATTATTACAAGGACTATAAACAGCAAGGTTATAAATAATATGTTATGCCACAAAAATATTACTATAATTGTCATTTACTAAAGCAATCAACATTTTGAGATTTTAAGAAATTCCTAAGATAGAGAAGGAATTTGGCTTGATATCTTGTGTAATACATTATATTAATTAGGAAAGCTTTTATATAATTGAGTAATTGGTAGGAACCACCAAATGAATATAAATAAATCAAATAAATATCATTAAGTCTTTGGATTCGTATTTTGCTCATATATTGGCAAAAATTCCCGAAAAAGTTGGCATTTGCTCTGTCCACTTCTTTAAATCCCACTTTTTCTCTAATCCATGGCAGTCTGACTTCCATCCCACCATGCTAAAAACACTGCTCCTGCCTGGTTCTCTGGCATCTGGCCCTCCTTGCCTCTACCCTTTATCTCAAACAAATGAGTCCCTCTCCCTTGTCCCTCTAAACTCAGTCTTTTCTGATCTTCCAGACTTTTGTAGTAACTCTTCCTATCTTCAGACTTTTGTAGTAACTCTTCCTTCTACCTGGGAAACTCTAGTTCCTAACATGACTGGTTCCTTCTCTGTCCTTCAAGTTCCGGCTCAAAAGTTGCTTTCTAGGGCCTCCCCTGGTGGCGCAGCGGTTGAGCTCTGGGCTGCGAAGCTACCCGCAGCCTCTGCAGCCCCCCGGTTTGATCCCCGGACACCAGCGAGGGTCCCACATGGCGCACAGACCTCTCCTGCCTCCCGCTGCTCCCCTCAGCAGTATATTTCGTTAGTCTGCCTGTTCTGTTCCCCACTCTGACTCTGGTGAGTTCTCTCACCCTCCTGCGCTTCTGACTGTACCCAGTGCTTGTATTAATAAATAAATTTTTTTAAAAAGTTGCTTTCTAGACACATCACCTGACCTCAAGTAGCCCCACAACCATCTCCAGTAACCTTGTCATATGGAAAACAATTCCCACTTATTGTCATTTCTCTCTCCCCACTATGATGTAAGTTCCTGGAGAGTAGCCTCTTTCTTTCACTCTCTCTCCTTGGCATGTGGAATATTTCTTGCTAAATAAATATTTTGCTTAAAAAATGAAGAATACTATCAACAGAAAGATTTGAAATGAATCAAAATGTTTTCATCAATCATGACTTCATTTCTAGACAGATATTTGACTACCAGATATCTATAATTTCAGTTTGAGTCATTAATTCCCTTAAGTGGAAGATTTTTTTATAGTATAAATTCATCATTTGAAAAATGGGCAGAAAGCATGCATAGTGTAAGGATTTGCTCATTAATATTGTTAAGGCAAGTTCTATGCTTTACATAAAAAATAGCCAGCAGCATTCCTTTCTGCAAACCTTGGGGGCGAGGGAGTGGGATCTAAACTCTCCCCTGGCTCGTCTTACATCCCCTGTGTTTAGATTAGTGACCCAAGGAGATCATGGACCCTGTACAAAATACCCTTAGAATAACACAGTGTCCATAGGATCATATACTTTCAAAGGCTTCTAGTCATATCTTTGCTTCTCAACCTCCCTTGAACAGCTTCAGCTCCAAAGAGTTGGAGCTTCTTTGGAGCTGACACTCCTATAGCCCAGTGCTGCATGATTCTGTGAGCTGCTCATGATGCCCGGGAGCTGCAGCAGTATTGGTCAGGCTGCTGTGGTGTGAATGCCGGCCACTGGGCAAAGCCTCTGCGACACAGTGAGGCCCTGGGCTCATGAAGCTCACAGAACAGTGAGCTCTTTCTGCTGTCACTCTCCTCTGGCGACTGCAATAATATGCTCATCTCCACTTGCCAGCATCCTGAAAGAGACCACTTCCCAACATACAGGACCTCAGTTCTGGCAGTTTCCAAGTACCTTTTCAGTTGAGAAACTAAGACATAGTCTTCAGTGGAGATGGCTATCTGAATCAGGATATCAGTAATGGCTGGATGAGTCATCTTCTAAATGTGTAAATGATTCATAGAACAGACTAGGATGGGGGGACCACAAGAACTTGATAACAGAAATCTGATTAAACTCATCAACAAAGCTACCTTAATTCAGTCTTCAGGGAAGATACCATCACGCCTATGTTTATTGGTCAGGATAGGCTTAAGATTGAAATAACCCAATTCCAAACCTCAGTGGCTTTTTTACCTCTCATGTCACAATCCAGGCAGGTCAGTGAGGGTGGTAAAGGGGATGTTTCTGGCCCACACAGAGAACCTCCAGGAATCAAGACTCCTTCCTTCTAGTGCAGGTGGTCACTACCTGGAATCCACAGATCCCCAAAGGATGGACATAATTTAGGGGGTCTGTGGTCATGACTTAGGGGGAAGGTATGTCACTGTTATCATTAACCTCTTAACTGTAACTTTGCATTTCCTGCAATTATGATTTAAGATATCAACTCACAATAAATAAATTTAATGCCACCTGTAACTTTATTATTGAAATCAGATATTTTCACGTCATATTGCAATTTTAATAGGTATCATGAAATATTATCTATGCTTGACACCACTTTGAAATTATGGTAATTACTGAACCTACTTGAAGATATTATTTAATATATTAAATTGCCATACCACTAAATATTTTTTATATTTTAATAACTGCTTCAATGCACTCACTTTTCTTTGTAACTCTATGTATTTTATTTAAGACATTACAATCATTATTCTAAGAAGGGATCTATAGCTTTCTATAACAAGGTATCTATAACAAGACTACCAAATAGGGTTTGTAGCAAACAAAAGAGTAAGAACCCAGAGGCAGTGGTTTTGCCCTGTCCCCTCAGATATCCTCAGCATCTAGTCAGTAGAGCAAGCTGGGGATGGTGTTGGGAAGTAGCATGGGGGTGAGGCTTAGATGGGATGTATATCATTTTTGCCCATATTCCATTGGTCCTAATTTAGTGACAGCTGCAGGGGAGACTGGGAAATGAGACTAGCTATGTGGCCAGAGGGAAGAGGAAATGGAGCTTGGTGAGCACATGGAAGCGGTTGTGAGTATGCCCAAGGAAACAATAAGCAAAGAGATAGTATCTCAGCAAAAAGCGCCCTTCCTGCAGAAAACTCATCCCTTGTCAAATTTACTCCAAGAAATACAGTCATAACAATAGTGGCCATTGGTAGAATAATTATGCCTGTGTTATTCTAAAGGATTCATTTTCATAACCTCATTTAATCATAATAACCCAATGAGATATTATTTTTCCTACTCAATAAATAAAGGAACTGGGGACTTAAGAAAATAAGCCCGAAGCCAGTGTTCTAAATCACTGTGTTGGACTGCTTTGGGAAAATACTGAACCTCTTATAGAAGAATGTGGAATTGTGTCCTGGTGAAGAAGGTGGTTTCTGTGGCCAGACTCTCCGGATTAGTATTCCAGTTTTGCTAGTAGCTGCTTCATTGTCTGGACATGTTTTACTGATGCTCTATGAATCTGTAAAATGATTATAATAACAATATCCATCTTTTAGGATTAAATGAGATGAACTGGTACATGGTAAGTGCTCAATGAATGTTTGCCACTGTCACTCATGCCTAAAGGACACTGTGACCATCTTAATGAACTAAATATTCTATCAGAGTTTAGTGTTTCTGAAGGGTGTGGAGAAATATCTAAAGTCACCAAGATTCTCATAAGCTGAAAATGTTCTAGAATGGTGTGCTGTGTTATAGTCAAGATAAGGGAAGATATTCTAATGAAAGTCTTTTCTTGTAAATGAAACGTTATGTTGGGATGACAGAAAGAGCGTGTTGATGGGTTACTTTTCATTTTTATGTAACTCTCTCCTTTATAGAACTCTATGAAGGTGATGTTTAAATGCCTCTGGAAAAACTGTGGGAAGGTGTTGAGCACAGCAGCCGGTATCCAGAAACACATCCGGACCATTCACCTTGGGTGAGGCAGCCCTCCCTTCCGAGCTTGATGTGATCTCTGCCAGCCATCTGCACCTGCACACCTGCATGGTGCCTTGAAACTTCTCAGTGCAGGAATAGAGACTGGACTTGAGTGGCCTTTCCAATCACTAGGGAGATGGGCGCTGCATGTAATAGAATTCAATATAGAACAGTAACAAATGTGGGATTTAAAGGTTGTAAAGTCTCCCTCATTTACTTACTAGGTGATGTTAGGCAAGTTACTGCTTCCAGCCTCAGTTCTCTCTGGAAATGAGGCCAATAATATCCCCTGTAAGGGTAAAAAAAAAACATATGTGAAAATGATTTGGAAAATACAAAACACTAGGGTAGAGTGTCTTAAGCTGGGATCTGTGGTTGCATTTCAAGGGATTTTGACCCCTGGAAGTTGACTATAAGATTAAATGGGTGCTTTGCGAGTAGAGAGCATTGGTGACTCAAAGTCGTGGAAAAGGAAGAATCACTGTGTCAATCAGTGCTCTGTTGCTGTTCTTAAAATGCCTGCTGACTGAGCTCTGTCATTTTTGGTTGTTCTCATAAGCTCTTTATTTATACAGCCTACACTTTAACTTGTTATAAAAAACCTTCCAAGGAAAGATAAAATGAAGCCTTGGGAGCTGCAGTGATTAGGAATCACAGCAGAGGGCGATGGTTCAATAATCTTCATAGTCTTCTTTAGCGTCTAGGTCTTTCTTGTTCAGAAGAGGCCTTGGAAAGCTCTAAGTCATAACCTGCTGTGCATAAGGCAAGTCAAATGCATGATCACAACCCCAAATGGTTGGATATGGAGCAATTCTTCCAACAAGATGAGTGTTGAGAAATAAATCTATGGCTAATTTGCCTTGCAAGTGATAAATTTAGGGACTGCATCATTCATAAAAACATGGTTAAAAAATAGGGTTCTAAGGTGATTTTGATTTTGCTGATTGTTGTGTACTAACTCCTTCAGTAGGACTATGGAGTAGAGAGAAACAGGGATCTAGCTCCCTAATTCATAATGCTGATATTTGGGGGCACAGTCTGACCCCTCTGAGCACCACTTGCAGGTCAAAGAACAGTGTGGGTGTGACCCAGCTGGACTGGATTTCTGTTCCCCAAGCCAGTGGGTTTGCCTTCATCTTCCGAGAAATACCACACTGGAGTAGTATGAGGCAGAACACCCACATTCCTGTTCCTGACGTCATTAAGGAAGGAAATGCTGCAATGTCTCCCCTCAATCATTGTCAGGACTACTCACAACGTAAATGGCTCAGACTTATTTAAAGGTTTAGAAAGACTTCGCAAAGCTATCGTCAGGAGCTAAGGTACTTGTTTTAAAGTCCATCTGCCCAGAAAATTGAATCCTATTCAGCACAGCACAGAGGCACACACCATATATACGTATTTATAGATGGTAAGCGGCATCACATAGTTTTCCTTTGTGCTCCTAGGGTGCTCTCATGGTGAATAAAATTCATAATGCTTCCCCAGGATTTCCTTTTTACTGGGGCTCTTAAAATTGCCTTGATGAATTACTGCCGGCTGCAGCGCGGGACCTGGGTTAGCAGGACTCCAGGCCTATCTGTGTGTGAAGCCCAGGGCATGAGCTCTCTCATGCCTCTGCCTTAATCTAGAAGCTCAGTTATGTGGTGGTAAAATGATAGAACTTTTTTAATGAGTGTTGGCTATGTGTGAGGGCGGGGAGGGGAGCCTATCAAAGCCCAAAGGAAATATATCTTGCATCTGATGTAGCTGCATGCACACCGCGCCAGTATAAAAGTACACTGATTTCTCTTAAATCTCACTCCATTCTTGCACTCCCAGAGTTGATCCTGATTTATCCAGTGTAGGACACAATTTCCCCCAGGCCTGTGGGTCTATTAGTAGCACTCAGCAGCCAGTAGCAAGTCAGCCTGCCCTTTACTGGAAAGGAAGTGGGGACAGGAATAGAACAGACGCACATTCTTCGTCCCATTCTCTGGGGTCTTGAATGGTATGCTTGACAGAAAGCCAAGGCCAGCCAGACCTGATACAGCACCAAGACACCTCCCCAGGCACCTCAGCCTGAGAGCTGATGGGAGGGGGGGGGGATGCTGGAAGAAGCCCCTGATTTGGCAAGACAAAAAGACCAAAGGGGGGGGGGATTTGTATTTTAAGTTCTATGTAGGGATTTTAAGTGGAAAAAAATTTTATTCTGAGTCAGTGACTACTGCAGGATGTGTCCATGAAATTTGGGGATAATCCTTGGAAGGTGGATAGAGGTCTCTGCTTAGCTGTTCCATAAAACCAGGTCGCTAGATCTGCAAATCTAGCTTATGGCCAGGTATCTTATTTTACCCAGAGTTTTCTGTAGCAAAGTACAGTTTCCCATGACTCAGGGAGAAGAATTTCAAAAGCACCAAGAAGACACTTTTCCTGGTGATGGTAAAAATTGAATCCTTCCAATACTAACCCTATTTTTATTTAATAAACACGTTGTGCTTATTATGTCAGGAAAGCTACTAAGCAGTGTATAATTTATTCAGTTAATCCTCCCAACAAACTGACACTATGATAACCTCATTTTATCAATGAAGAACATGAGGCACTTGGCTATGTGAGCACCAAAATTACACACACATCTAGAAGGTGCCAGGATTTGAACCCAGGAAATGTGGCTCCAGAATTTATCCTGGTAATCATTGTGCTACAATAACATACAATAACTTCATTCAGCCAGTCAATATTTCATACATGCCAACTCCATGCCCGATGTGTGTGGAGAGACATAAGGCTGAACAAGACAGAACCCTGAGAATCACAGTCTTAGGGAGGTGATAGAGGTTTAAAAAACTTACAGATGCATGCCAAGGAATTAAATAAATTGAATTAAATAAAATGAGTACATTTCAAAGGGCGCACAGAGGCTAAGTTATGAGTTAAATCCTAGCTCCTAACCTTCAAAGTACATCCCAAATTTGACTTCTCATCACTTCTACCACCACCCCTTATCCAGCCACTGCCAGCGCCCCCCTGGAGGACCATGGCCTCTCTGATCTGCTCCTTTATTTTGCTTTTGCTTTTGCTCTCCTGTCTTTATTCTCCAGACAATAGCTAGAGTGATCCTTTTAAAAGATGATTTCTTAAACTCCCCAGTGGCGTCCATCACATTCAGAAAATAACCCAAAACCATTTCTGCAGGCTACAAAGTCCTACTGCAACTTGCCTCTGCCATTTGTTCCTTCATGGTTTGTATTTTTCTCCCTGATGCCTTGAGCGTTACTGACCTTTCTTCCCTTCTTGGCAGACATCTCCTCGCCCCACTCAAAGAGCCTTGTGCTCCTTCTCACTGTGCATTCTTTGCATGGTTTTGCATGGGTTCCCCCAACACCTCATTCAGGTTTCTGCTCAAATCACCTCTTGAGAAAAACTTCCCTCTGAACACTATTTGAGATAACACCTCCTAGGACTTACTCAACTTAAGTACATTCTTGCACTACTTAATTTCTGAGACATATCACTACCTAATTTATTAAATATCTGTTCCTTTATGGTTTTTTTGTCTGTCTCGCCCACTAAACTATGATTTCCATCAAGATAGAGTTTATTCTTCCTACTGTATTCTGATATTGGAGAACCCTATAGCAGTGCCTTGGCCTAGTAGATTCTCAGTAAATTGTTGAATAATCAATCGATTGATTTGTTGAGTGGTTGAATAATTGCTTGAAAAAGTCCAGGAAAGCTTTCATAAAAGTGGACAGTTAAATGTGACAGATAAGTAAGTGTTTGCCAGGCAGACAAGAGAGAGGAAAAGCATTTCAGACAGAGGGAGCAGCATGTGTGAGATTTCAAGGCAAGAAAATGGATGGTTTAATACAGTTGTTTGGCTCTCTTTTGCGTTAGGCGTGTTGGGGACTCTGACTACAGCGATGGCGAAGAGGACTTCTACTACACCGAGATCAAGCTCAACACAGACTCGGTAGCAGACGGACTGAGCAACCTGGCCCCAGTTTCCCCCTCCCAGTCCCTGGCTTCGCCTCCTACTTTCCCCATTCCAGATTCAAGCCGAGCAGAAACAACCTGTGCCAAAACCGAGACTAAATTGATGACGCCCTTGAGCCGTTCAGCTCCCACCACCCTCTACCTCGTGCACACCGACCATGCTTACCAGGTGACTTGCAAGGGAGCAGGGGAGCCCTTTGAACCCCTAATCCAAAGTGGTAACATTCTAATCTGTGAGAAAATGAAAAGAAATTAAAAGAAAACTCAGTGGGAAAATAGCGTCACACACGGTATCCCCATCACTGAATACTTTTCCTTTCTTTTTTAAAGCCAAGTTCTGACACAGATGGGACCCAATGAATTGTTGGACTCCCCCCTACTCACTAAGTAGCCAGTCCCTTAGAAGTAGTTATAAAAGATAAATTCCCTCTACTATTTAAGACCCTCTGAAGGGTGCCTGGCACATGCTCTGAGTGTCCATTAAATAAAAATAAAACAAAAGAAGGTGAGTACTGAGAAGCATATATGTTGATATAATCACGCTGTACCTCAAGTCTGGGCTTCATGCCCCATCTTCTGAGTTAGTAACTAACCCTCTCACGTCAGAGCAGTGTTCCCTACATCAATGTCAGCATCACTGGAAACTTGTTAGAAATGTCAATTCTCAGGACCCTGCCTGACCTCCAGGGTCAGAGGCTAGGGATGGGGCCGAGCGGTGTGTTGTTACAGCTCCTCTAGGCAATTATGATCTCACCAAAGTCAGACCTTACTGAAAATTCTTGCAAATACAGAACTAAAGCTTCTTGTTCCCCAGCAATTATTAACTCCTTTAAATGTTGATTTGTGTTAATAAAATTTCGATGCATTCAAATCTTATGAAAACATTTTACCCATGATTCTCAACTAACTTATGCAACTTTAAAAAAAATCTTTAAAAAAAATTAATTAAAAAAATCTTTTTTGCATATCTATTTGTTTTCCCACCCTTGTTTTATAAACACTCTTCCATGTAACTGAGTAATACTCAGTGAAATCAAAACACCAAATCATTTTAATCATTTTCTTTTAGTCTACCCAGTTTTTTCACTATCATTATTATGTCTACTATGAGCAACTCTGCTATGAACAACAACATAAAAAAATCCTGTAGCTTTTTTTCCTTTAAATTCCTAGAAGAGTAACTACTGAGTCAGAGGATGTAACGTAAACAACATATGACTCTTGCTGTGTATTGCCAAAATATTTTTCCAGTGGTGCTAGTTACAAAACCACTGCCACTAGCAACTACATTGTAATTTTAAAAACTAAACCTGTAGAGGAAGAATTCAGCCACTTGTTCAGTTAAGTTAAACTTAAGAACAATAGAATAGAGCTGACTACTAATCGATGCAATAAATTTCTTCCTGACTCCTATTATGTTGGTCAAAAAGAATAATTCATTCCTTTGTCCTTGTTTGTCAGTGTTGCATTTAGGTCTGAAATGATGGAGTTGAGCCAACTTAATTTAATTATTTTACTCATCTATATAATGAGAGTTGGAACACACACTAGGTAATCTAAAAGGTCCCTCCCAAACTTATAGTCATAATTTTGGCTGTTTTCTGTTTATAGATATTATAAATATTCAGCATAGAACACACTAAAAACTTAAAGAAAATTCATCCCTAGCTCACAGGATGAGAACCTCTTGAGTAGTATATTTAGGTCCTTCAAAACTTTGTTTTGTGTCTATATGTATACTCATTAAAAAAAAAAAAAAAGGAATGCTATTGTATTGCTGTTCTTACAATGCTTTGTTTTTTCCACTTAATGGTCATGAACATTTTCCCATGCCAATAAACATTCCTTAACAACATCATTTGTAATTTATTTACCTATTTTCTTGTATGTTTCTGCAGTGAACATCCTTGTATCCATTTCTTTAGAATAAATTCTTAGAAGAGGGATAGCTAATATACAGAATATTAAGAATTTTGATACATATTGCCAAGTTACCCTCCCAAAATGTCATGCCAATTATATATCTGCCATCACTGTAAAAAAGTGTTGACTTCCCAGTTTGATCTGGATGATTGGGATCTTACAGGTATTAAAATAGGGGTGTTATAATCAAATTTCTTTTCAAAAATTTACAGTCAAAACCTCTTTAGAAAGATTACTTAGATATATAAAAAGTTTATTTCTAACTATTTTCACTGGTTTAGTGTCCTCCTATTAGATAGATATTTTAGTCTTAGTGATTGACACAACTGCTTTGGTAATAGCAGCTTAAACTTTAAGGAAATGTGTTCTTTCATAACAACTTTCTGTGTTTTCCATATGACAGGCTACACCCCCAGTGACCATCCCTGGGTCTGCCAAGTTCACCCCCAATGGCAGCAGCTTCAGCATTTCTTGGCAGTCTCCTCCAGTTACCTTCACGGGCATTCCAGTAAGTAGAAAAACAAAAAATCAGAAACCTGGTCAAAACCAAATGTAAGTTTAGAATGCAAACTATAGAAACATGCAAGAAAAAGATGAACATTACAATGCCAGAAACTGTTTCTTAAGTGATATCTGTAAACCCTCAGCCAGGTAGCTTATGGCTTAGGCCAACTTCTATGCAAAAAGGTGTTCTGACTGCTATTTTAGAACACTAGAGAGTTCCAGCTGTCGATAAACAAGTTGTTGGAAATATATTAAGACTTTTTTATGTTGGTGATACATTTGTATGTTTCCAAAAGACTTTAATATCTAAACTCAGACCCAAAACATAGAAGAAAACCCCTATATATGAATCACATTTATCATTTTAAATAAATATTAAATTTATGATTTTGAAATTATTCTTTGTTGGATATGCCATTGTGTAGGTTCAAAAGAAAATGAAATCATCTTTTTTCTTTCAAAGTCTAGTAATCCACACTGATGGGTAATTTGAAAATAAATGTGTAGAAATACGCACTCAAGTTTAAGTAGTAGATTAGAATTGACTTGAAATATTAAATGATTGCTATCTGATAAGTCACCATGAATTAACTTGATTCCTAACTATCATTTAAATATGTATTGGGTCTTTTATAACATCATAGAATATTCATAGATCTGCACATCGTTGATGCTCACAGTGGTTTAGAACTCCTGATAAGGTTCAGAAAGTAGCTTATGATAATAGATACCAACCTTATTTTCTTCTCTCCACTCTTCTCCCCAAGGACCTTACAAAAGCTTCTTATTGTCAACCCCTGGCAACTCCCAGAGGTTTGCAGCAAAGACTAAGGCCTCCAGCAGAGCTGATAAAATAAAAGTAGCTCAACCAATTATGCTGCGCTGTCTTGATGAATATTTATTAAATTCCCTAGGTGAATAGTCAATAATAAAAAACATCCTGCTGACAGCAATTTAGGAATTTGTGGCTTCCAGAAAATACTCCTGGAATTCAACTTTTGAACATACCAGGGATCTGGAGTAATTAAGAAAGTTGTCTGCTTCACTGAACAGTGATAACTGCTGATTGCTCTGAAAGAACAAGCATATAGTTAGTGACCTTGCTAGCAAACATTAGAAGAGAACAACTTAGACAGGTAGGTATTAGCTTGCTTCTGGCAGCAACAATAATCCAAGGAAGTGGGTGTCAGAGGTTAACAGTCCTTTCGGCTATTTATTTTATAAAAACAGCCCAAATGGCTCTCAATATCAATATCAATATTTGAAACAACTCTTCCAGCCCATCAAGGCAGCAACAACTACAATATTACGGAAACCTGTTATTCTGAATCCTGTTAATTCCTGTCTTTGGTTTAAGAATTTTCAGATGCATGTAACATATTGTTTATCTGGTATGAAAAAAGAGTAACATGTAGATGGATCATTCCCAGTCCAGACCTTTTTTCAAATGTGACCAACAGAAATGAAATTTTTCCTTTTACTTTATTAATTAAATTATCTCCTGAAGTATAGCAAAATCACTGTAGCTTTTTACTAGTTGTTTGTCCTCAAAAGTTCCTAAAAGTCTTGCACAGTAGGATACCAGCCAAGATACCTTTTATTACCTGTGTTTCAATAAATAGTGATGTTTTAAAATGCTTCTGGGTAGTGGACACTCTACTCTCATCTCAATGCCCTGTATTTTTCACAGAGTCCCTAATTTTACTATCTCTTGGTAACCAGAGACATTCTAGACTAGAATTTTGACAGAACATACATAGTGTGACTGGATTTACTGGCTATCCCACTGAAATCCTAGGTCACCTTCAAAATTGTTCTTTCACTAGAGAATTTCAAATCCCACTGGTCCTATAATCTATTTCAGCCAGCATTTAGACTGTTTTAACTACCAAACTTTCTATTCTATTTAAAAATAAAGACAAAGGGAGAGAGCACTAATTTCATTTTTTTTAGATTTATTTATATATGCATACGAGAACTAGGGTACAGGCCAGAGGTGTGGGGGGTGAGAGGATTCACCAGAGACAGAGTGGGGAACAGAACAGGCAGATCTACTGAAACACACTGCTGAGGGGAGCAGTGGGCAAGTCAGGAGAGGTCTGCTTCACTGTGTGGGTTAGCTCCCTGGCTGGGTATCGAACTCGTGCTGCAGTGGCTGCTGTTTCTTTAACTCCTCCCCACCAGGGAGGCCCAAGCACACTAGTTTTAAAGAATTTTGTTTTACTTTAGAATTCTAGATGATGAGAAGACTACTACTAAAAATGTTCTTTATGTAGTATATGCTATCAATGTTTAAAAAAAAAAACAGTGGGTGCTTCCTCCTTCTAGGGGGGCTGTCACAACCCCACTCTCCCTAGGTTCAGGACTGCCATAAACACCCTGAGTGGGTGCTAGCAGCTGTCCCTGAATTCTCTACAAGTGCCTGGTGCACCCCTGAACACGAGGAGCCAGGTGAACCTAAAAATATGTGAATTCCTACCTTCTAGTTTAGTGTAATAGGGTTTTCAGACAGAAGCTCTGAAAGTTTTAAATTATAATGAATTAGTATTTTTGATGATTTCAGCTGTATCCAAACTGAAAAATAGAGCCATTTTCATTTATAAGAATACTTTCTAAAGAATCACATTTGTCTTTGTATTCCAAAACAAATACTCTGAGGTTGTCAACCCCATTTAAGGTTTCTCTTCTCCCGCATCTTTGAGATGTGGTACTGAAAAGGGAATGTTTTTCCTTGCTTCCTAGAGAGTGGAAATAATCTCCTTCTGAGAAATCCCAAGGTTTGCAGGATTTTATTTATTCATTTGCCTATACTAGATTTCCTGAACATTAGCTTTAATAAGTTCCCTGGGTAAGACCTCATCCCAGAGGTCTATAGCGAAGAAGGCGGCTCTGCATATTTGCAAATATAAGTGGAAGTTCAGTCTTTTCTAGCCGAAGGCTGTGGGCACAGGAGCAGGAGAAGGCCCCATTAATTACAACTTTCTTTGACCTGGTTGTCCCAAATGACCCATATTTTCGTCTAATTATCTCCATTCCTTTCTGTCTTTTCATGACAGAAGTTGAGAGCTCTTGACCTGCGTTAGTCTGCTCAGACTGCCAATGCATGATGTCACAGACCAGATGACTTAAACAATCAAAATTTGTTTTCTCACAGTTCTGGGGCTAAAAGTTCCAGGCTGAGATGCTGGTAGATTCAATTACTGATGAGGGCTCCCTTCCTGGCTTATAGCGGGAGAGCCGCCTTCTCACTAAGTCCTCACTTGGGGGCTCAAAGAGTGGGGGGTTGAAGAGAGAGAGAGTGAGAGAGAGTGAGGCATCTCTTCTTACAAGAACACTGATCCTTCTAGTCCTGCATTGGGTAAGGTCCCCATCCTCATAACTTTCATTTAACTTCAGTTACTTCCTGAAAGCCCCTTTCTGGTGTGAGGCTTAGGTGCAGATCTTGCCTGGGGCGTTTAGGAGCTATGAACCCCCAGCCGGTCACGTGACCCCCAGCGGTTCATGTTACCTCTCTCAAGCTCTGCGCACAACTCTACTATGACCTGTGGAACTGTATTGTTCAGCAGTGTGTTTGCCACGTGGCTAACATTACCGAGCACTAACCAGTATTGCTACCTTTGAAGTGTCTCATAAGTAAAAAACAGAGCTCAGAGAAAAGAGATTGTCCACAGTTGGGATTGATTCCTATAATACTAACATATTCAACATATGGGAGAAATAGGCCATGATTTTTGCAGCCTAAGTTCTTTAAACTCTTTTGAGGTCATACTTCATCAGAAGACAAATTATAAGCAGATAGCCTGATACATTTTTACTTAGAAATAATATCATCTCATGCGCTCCAAGTATATAATTTACTTTATAAAATATGCCCCCGAATAGAATTTAAATGGTGAAGATAATGCTTTGTAAGGCTTTATTTTAGGGCACTCTTTACTCGCATCAGTGACATGGCAGGATGGATGAGTGGAAAAAGCAAGGCTTTGACATCATTCAGAACTGAGTTGCAAGACCAGCAGGTATCAGACGGCATGTATTCCAATCCTGGGTCCACCATTTCCAAACTCTCAAACTTACTTAACTTCTCCATTTCCCCTTTATACAATGAAAATGATGCCAGTTCTTTTATCCTAGGGCTTCTGTGAAGGTTAAACCAGATAACCTGGAGGAAGTATTCAGCTTGCATAGCCAGCTCTCAGACACTATTGCTGTCAGCTCTGAGATACTCTGCAGGCTGCTGCTCTGCATGAAGCCTAAATTATCTATAAGATGCAGATAACATTCTCATTTTGCAAGGTTCTCATGAGGATTAAAAGAGATCACAAATAATGGTCTTGCTATTAAAAAGTGGTCTTGATCACATGATGGTCTTGCTATTAAAAAGTCTCCAGAAAAACTCACAAGTGAGGTCATATTGGTCCTCCCTCAGGACTGAGCCTCATGCTGAGGAGTGAGCTGTCATTGCTGTGTCTTCTGCTTTGTGGATTCAGTAGAAACCCAGGTCTGTCATGGAATGGGGAGGGAGCTGCTATTGGACAGAACTATATACAGAACACAATAACTAATAAAAAACAAAAATAACAAAAAAAAAAAAACCAGAACAAAATAAAGAATGTAGCGCAAGCTTATTCTGCACTAGGTCCATATTCCTTAAACTGTATTCTTGCAATTTCCCAAATCCTCACTGTTCCCCCAAACCTACCACTTAAGCAGTGTTCCCATCTTAGTCCGTTGTTACTACTGTCCAGCCCTCCAGCTGTTCAGGCTAGAACCTAGGATTTATCCTTGACTCCTTTTGATTCATTTCTGATTCATCATTTGTCATCATTATTTTTATTTATTTATTTTTTTTTGGTGCCACGTACCATCTGTCAGCAAGCCCCAGGCACTGCCTCCAATGATTCCAGCCCCTCCTCCCCACCCTTGCCACACCCTAAACTAAAGCAAGTGTGTTTTCCCTGGAATGTTGCAAACAGGGCTTCTCTCCAAACTATCTCCAATCCATTCCCTTAGAAGCCAAAGCAGTTTGGTTTTTTTTTTTTTTTTTAAGCATTTAAAAATTCGCTTTTGTAAAACTCTCCAGTGGCTTTACATTACACTTAGGGTAACAGTCAAACGATACAGCTTCAGGGTATGACCTGAATCTACACCTCCTTCCTCCCACCAAGATCTTAAGACCACTTTGGTACTCTGCTTGCTTGGTGGACTTTGTCATTGCTCTCCCTTTCTTGGGCGTGTCATCCCCAGAGGCCTCTCAGCACCCTCAATGCATCAATGTGCTTTCCTTCAATCATCCTTTGCTTATTAGCCTAGATCATCTGTGTTGTCCTTGAACATTTGAGGTCTTCATCTTCACACCTTCTGGTTTGCTGTTATACATCCTGGATGGGAATTGGAGGGCAGGGAGGATTCTGCTTCTGGAAGTACCTGCTATTTACCCACATAAAATATGTACACTGAACCCCAAAGTGTTTCTTTGTTCAAAGTCTCTATGTGTCACTCATTCCTGCTAGACCTGACTCTATTAAACTTCAGCAAAAAAAAAAAAAAAAAAAAAAAAGCAAAGACCAAAAATATAGAATAATTCAGACTCACATGAACAATGGTTTAAAATATTAGGTTTGGGGGCCTCCTTGGTGGCGCAGTGGGTTGAGCGCAGTGCTGTGAAGCTGTCCACAGCCTCTGCAGCACAGATTCGATTCCTGGCCGGCTGGGGAGATACCCACATGGCACGGCAGACCTCTCCTATCTCGCCCGCTGCTCCCCTCAGTAGTGTGCTTCGGTCCCTCTGCTTGTTCTGCTCCCCGCTTTGTCTCTGGTGAAGTCTGTCACCCTCCCATGCTTCTGGCCTGTACCCCAGTTCTTGTATAAATAAATAAATCTTTAAAATAAAATAAAATATTAGGTTTTGTGTGAAGTTGTACTCCTAAGATTATATAGTAATGTGAACTAATGCATATCAATACAACTTGAGAAAAATAAAATTTTAATGTAACTTTGGTGTTAAGTTTTTACTGATCTGCTTAATTTTTTTTGAAGTTATTGTCTGGGAAATAACACTGATGTACATTCCTTGATATCAAAAGAAAATAAAAAGTTCTAGTACCTGTATTAGAGAAAACCAACTCTATAATCGGTATATTGTAGGGATGTTCCCATTATTATTCATTGAGAATGGCATTTCCATGTTGGCTTCTAGATAAGTAACTTTTTAGTTTATTAAATGTCTGCTCTTCTGTAAATTGCAATATCGTATACCTGAGACATCATTTATCTTTTGTTATGAAAATTACTTTTTTTACAGCCTTTGAGAATCCCCAAAGCGGGGGAGATATTTAGTATTATGAGAACAGATGATGCAAAGAAAGTGAGAAATGGAGGTGAGGAGCCCTCCCATTATGATGGAGAGGCAGCGGGGTGAGGAGGTTAAACATGTGCTCTACCATCCGGCCAAGCAGCGATGCAGCCCTGGCCCTGCCACTACAGTTCTAGGGCCTTAGGCAAATTATTTAACCTCCCAGTACCTTGGTTTCCTCACCTATGAAGTGGGAACAACAGCACTGATCACATGGGATCATGGTGAAAATTAAAGCTGTAGTCAACAAACCCATTACGTAGAGAATGCTCAGCAGGTATTAGACTATGAAAGATGACATCCTTTTCAGTTTGCTTCTGCTCTTTGCTTCTTGTCTTTATTCCTGTTTGGACACCAGAGTTCGTTGTGTAAGTGTCTTAAGCAAGAAGACTTACCATTCACTTACTGACTGTGAACAGTCTCGTAGAGCAAACTGAAGGCTATGGCCCACCTTCTGTCACTGCCACTGCCTAAGTCTAATTTAAAGAAACTCTTAATTGCTTTAGGTTATTTTTCTTCTTTAAAAAATTGGTCATGAGTCGAGTTAGGAATGTAAAGTTTAAATTTTTTTAAAAGATTTATTTATTTATGCATACACGAACTTGGATACAGGCCAGAGGTGTGGGGGGTGAGAGGATTCACCAGAGACAGACTGGGAAACAGAACAGGCAGACTGCCTGAAATACACTGCTGAGGGGAGCAGCAGGCTAGACAGAAGAGGTCTGCTGCGCCATGTGGGTAGCTCCCTGGCCAGAGGTCAAACTCTTGTTGCAGAGGCTGTGGATAGCTTCAAAGTGCTGTGCTTACCACCAGGGAGGCCCTAAAGTTTAAAATTTTATTCAAGTGAAACTGTGTTACTGTGGCAACTTGGAATGCATAGCTGTGAGGAAGTGCAGATTTTCAAGTTTTAATTTCTGTCGGGTCTTTTCTGTTCGGGGATGCATTCAAGTTCTACTGTGAACACACTTTAGCAAACGTATGTTTCTCTGCGAAGGATGCATGTCATCTCTATGCCTGACGGTCAAGTACAACTACCTATGTGGGCAAAAGCAAAATAAATGCATGGTGAGAAGCTGCCCCATCAACTTTGTTTCCATATACTCCCCAGGTGTCGCCAACACATAATCATGCGGTGGGCACAGGCGAGCAGAGACAGCACACCCACACCGTCTTGTCCTCCCCACCCAGAGGGACAGTCAGCCTAAGGTATGCCAACTGGAAACTGTGTGTGCCTCATTTGAAGGAAATTAACTGAAATAGAAGAATAGCAAGGAAAAGAGAAATCACAGATATGACCTTCCATAGTTTCCCCAGAATGGATGAAGCCCCCTTTCTTTTGTCCCCATGGTCTTCTCTTTCCACTATTAATGGACTTTCATTGTTTTGGGGGGCTAACAGCTTGTGGTGCATTTTCTTACAGAATAGGTAATGGTGATCACTGGGTCTGTTTAAAGCCATGTGCATTAACCTCTCTATTAAATGAACTAAAAATTAGAGTTTTTAACATGGATCAAGGAGGATCTCTCCCAAAATCCCTTAACCAAAACACTAAAAATTTGAGAAACACGAGAGCACCTGAAAGTACCTATTTAAAAACTTGGAAGAGTAGTGTTCTCTATTGGAAAGTCTTGTGTTGACTTGTTAAGCTCAATATTATAAAGATGACCAAATGGATGTGTCCACATATAGACATACAGAAGCTTGTGAGTTACGGTAGCAAATCGTAACCACTTAGTGTGGTGGCCATGGAAACACACAGCTTGTGTCTGAACCTAGAGAACACCGACTCTTTCTCCTAACTTTTTTCTGGCTCTTTCAAGGGATTTTTGAACCTTCCATAGAACACCCATGGAATTCCTTCTACTGAATACATTTTCCTTATCTGTCCTGCAGGAAGCCCAGGGGAGAGGGCAAGAAGTGCCGGAAGGTCTACGGCATGGAGAATCGAGACATGTGGTGCACCGCCTGCCGCTGGAAGAAGGCCTGCCAGAGGTTCATCGACTGAGAGGCCCCCAGCGGGCAGAGGGGCCATGTCCCCATCACTCCTGTCTGCACCTTCCACTGTGGATTTTGGAAAGAGCTTTCCCTTCTGAGCAAGATACACTTGAAACCCCAGGAAAAGCACTTCCAGGAACCTTGGTGGAATTACAGCAAAAAGAAAGGCTGCCACCCTCACTGCTCTTACTGAGAATCCAACCTAGAGCAGCTATAACTCATTTTTTTCCTTGAGAAGAAAAGTCAACCTTTTTTGCTGTATGTCTAGATCTGAAAACTGGACTTCTGTAGCAACCGAACCAATAAAGCCCATTTTACTTAGAAAGGCATATTTTGATAACCTTTCTGAAAACTGCCATTTCTGAGATTTTTTTTTTGGACATTTCAAAGAAGCTACACATTCTTCAGTAGCATTTGTACAGAGAACAGTACCTGCTTTCATTGTGAATAGTCTCTTCCCTGTTTGCCACTGACTTAGAGCAGTACACATCATGAGGTGTTGCCAGAAAGTGCAGCACCCGGGGTATCTTTTTGAGGTCTTTTTTTTTTGTTGTTCGTTTGTTCATTTTGTTTTGTTTGGAAGAACGGCCCCAGCTGAACCACGGTAGAGCTGTTAGCTTACAGGGATGACCTAAACTCAAAAAAGAGATTGACCATGGAAATCACCAGCAGACTTCAGCCCCCAGCTGAGTTCAGGACATCCAGCTGTCACAGTTGGGAAACGTCTAGGAGTCCTTGGATTTTTATAAGAAGCTCCTTCCCAAGAGGCAGCACAGCTGCTTCCCTACCTGCTCCTTCTCTATCTTCCCTACTGCTGAATGCCCTGCTAGCAGTCCACAATCCAATCAGGAACTGGTGCATGTAGCCACCTGGGTAAGCCTCGCTGCTCCTTTCAGAGATGGGAGGCAAACTGCAGCTTGAATCTGTTTGCTGGTGCTTGTCTGACAAGGTTGTGGTCAGGTTCAGGGCCTTCCAGCCTTCCCACGAAACTCTACCACTGACTGATTCCCAAAGAGGTAGAGAATGGCAAAATGTCCCAGCAGGTTTGCTTTAGACAGCTGAGCACGGCCTACGCGTCTCCATCTGTTGAGAAAGTTGTGTGAGGTCAACAAGCCAACATCCATTCTGAGTGCACTTTTATAGGTTTTATGCTTTAGCATGTCTGGGAGATGGGTTAATGAATAATATGGACATTATATGGGTAAATGGAAGGCCCAAACCTTTATTTTTCTTATAAAAATATTGGAGGTATTCGTTAAGAATTCACTCAGAAGGAAACATGCAGAGCACCAAAAGGAAAATGCATGTTGGTATAGGAATCTTTCAATTTAGTAGGACCAGGGCTTGTACTGTGTTCCTTCTAGCCTGGTATGTTTGTTAATTTGTTTGTGCGTTTATGGTGGCAGTTGTGTCAGGGGAGGGGAGTAGTTGTCAAGCCCTATAAATAAGCTCAATTCTCTATCTACCCTATTCCTGAATGCCCTGCTAAAGAGTTCTTTCTCCTATACCTATGCAAAGAAGTAAGAGCACCTTATAGGATGCACTGTGTTGGGACGGGGGGCCTAGGATCAGCCATAGGAATGTTAAATGAAATTGCACAGAGGAGAGTTTAATATATGTTTAGAGACTGTACATACACATTTTTTAAAAGAGCAGAAAGAAGTCATCTAGTAATAACAGATACCCTTTTTTTTATAAATGAGGGAAATAGGTTCTATAGTGTAACATTCACAATCTGTGCATTCATAGAGTTTGCAACTTTATTTTTTCAACTGTCTCCTGACTTTGTAAACATTATTCCTTGAAAGAGATTCTGTTTGCCTCCTTCATTTATTATTTTCTTTAAAAACACTATTGCAAGAGATGAAAGAGCTTCATTTAATTGCACATCGTGGTTACCAATCAGTACTAGGCATAGTGCCAGCTACTATGTATGTTTTGGTACCAACATGGCCAGCCAGGAAAGGGCATTTTTTTTAAATGCAGAAATGTATTTGCCTCCCCCTCCCCAGCATGTCTTTTCTCCTCCCCGCTGTCCTGTTGCGCCATCTACTGCTGTGAGCTGATGCTCTGGCCTTGTCCGGAGACCCTGAGCTAGGGCAGATTGCACAGTGACCCCAGTGAGCCCCAGGCCGGGCAAGCACTTGAGCAGGTTTGCCATATGCTGAAATGGTGGCCAGGCTTCAGGCCTGGAGCAGAAAGTTTTCTCTTTGGCAAATAAGCCAGTAATCAAAAAGATTGAAATGATAAGGGGCTACACCCATTCCCTCTCCAAGAACTTTGGGAACAAAGGGGGAAGTGATCCTTGAGTGGAGCAGTGCTGGAGCACAACTCTGTGGCTCTGCTTCCAGAGACCTAGCCCGTGAGTAGGTCTGAGTTCCGGCCTGGCTGAGTCAAGCTCAGCTCACTGGCTGCTGGCCAGTGCATAAGTATAAGCAGAAGCATAGATCTATAAGCTTCCCTGGAATTTCTCATCCTTTCTAAAACCTACTTTGTTCACACTCTTATACCTCTCCGACCCACACAAGGACTCCTTTCTGCCTACCAGCCCCGGGGTGCACCTTCCTATCTGACATTTAGGTGCACAGACCCTCACTACTTTCCTGCAAATGCAGACCCTATTACCTGTACCAAGACATGTAATAACTGGGGGACCACCAAGCTTTGCCTGACTGGCCATGAAGAAAAGGGATTAAACTTCTTGCAAGCTACCCAGAAAGCAAGAATCACAATATACATCCTTTGGTTGTGAAAACTAAAATTTAAAAAAAAAAAAAAAAAAGTAGAGCTATTTTGTTATATTTTGGAACTAAAGGGAGTGCCAAATTAAGCCAGACATTCAATGTATGCCTTCTGTGTGGTACCACATTCTTTTACATCTTCATTTGAGAGGGTAAGAAAGAGGATGGGTGGAAGGGGGATCCCCATGGCATGCGGAACACAACAGCCGGGCCCCATCCACAGAGTGCTCAGAGGCCTGTCTGTGCAAACAGAGTGGCAAAAAAATCGATTCCGGTCCCAAAGTATTTCTGAGTAAGGCATGCTGTCGCCTTTGGCTTTTTATCCCTTGATATTTCTTCCTTCAGCAAAGGTATCTCATCTCTCTCCAAAGAAAGCATGTTGTATATTGAACAGGTAGCTCTCCTGATAGCTGCAAAAAGTGTTCATCAGACAGTAGTTTTAAGCCTTAGTCCTTCCCTGTGGGTATGTGTGCATTCAATTTGTGGTTGGCAATGTGACAACTTGGAGCAAACACCCAAATAGCAAGTGGATCGGGGACAGACAGAAGATACCAGAGAACAGCTCCTATTTATCATGTTGGGGCTCATAGGCCCGTGGTGACTGTCCCTGGGCCAGGGGTGTGGCCTGTCATGCGTATCCCTGGTGGGCACAGAACTCTCCCCAGCTCATTTCTGGAAAGTGTCATCCCTGGGTTGGTAAAAGCAAGGTGTGGGGGAGGGGATTCTGAGCAGAAATGTGCTTGCTCAGCTGCAAAGTGCCTGCCAGCAGATTCCTGCACTAACAAGGTGCCACTTACCAGGCTATTCCTGGTCCAGGGGACCCAGGTTGCAAATGAAAACTTTCAGAAGGGAATGATGTGTTACAGTTGGACTCTCATAAAACTTCTTAAAGAAATGGTAACATGTATGTTACAGAAGATTTCTGAAACTGAAATGCCCCCCTCAGATTTCAAGATCACTTGGGTTTCAGTGGGGTCTCTGGTGTCATGCTCAGCCACACTTCTGAAAGTAGCCCTGGGTTCTAAACTAACTGGCACTGCCGAATCCACTCCCCCTTCTTCAGTCTTCATTGGAAAATGAGAGGGCAGCATTTGCTTGAGAGTGTTGCAGAGAACACTTTTCAGAGAATATTCAAAGAACAATTCAGAGAAAAGTGGCAAGAATTGTCCAAATAGGAGAGAATACCTTGAGAAGAGTAGCAAAATACTGTAAAAATATCATTTCCTCAGGGAAAATTAAAGGGTATGTGAAAAATAGATCTGGCGGATCCTGAGACTAGAAAGACTTATTATCTTTAGAATCTTTTCTAGTCAGAACACTTGTTTTTGTCAATGAGCATGATACCATTTCAAGACCAACTTGTGTGAACTGGACAGTGCCGATTGTTGAGGTACAGAGGGATGCTCTGTGAAAAAGAGCTATCTTTGTAGCTGACCTGCAGTCTAAGGCTGACATTTGAACCACAGGCGCTGTCCCTCGTGGGTATTCATAGAGTCATGGAAGTCTTTTTTCTGAATGTAATTGTGAATATGAAGCCTCAGTGTTCTTTTTTATAATCACCCGCTTAGATGACTGGTTACTAACTATAAGCAGAATTTTGTAGGCGAAAGCCATTAGAGATGTGTATTCGCTGTAATAGCATATTAAGGAGCAAACTTCCATGGACTTTTGTCGACAAGATGCTGCTTTTTCTCATGACCCTGTAGAAATTCTATCGACCACATCAACTGTAGCATTGACCTGTATGAATGGAGGGAAGAATTTGTGCATACAAATGAGTGGAAACAGAGCAGGATTCATGAATATGGATGAGGATGTGGATCAATTTGGAGAATTCGCTGGGTACATGGGTCAACTGGAAATTTCATTTCTCTACGAAAATTACCCTACCAGCAGCATACACCCACTCCCTGTTCCTCATTCTGTGAGGATTCCTCTGTAACGGGACTGGGGACTGTCTTATTGTATCTTTTTGCTTGTAACTAGTCAAACCAGAAGTCAGTAAATAAAATGAGATTAGCACTTTTAGGTACCAATTGTATCACTAAGTAATGCACACCAAGCAGGCAAGAAAGTATAAAATGTATTTCTGACCTACCGGTTTGCTTTTTGTGACTGACTTTGGAAACGCCCATAGGATATAGTGCTTTAAGAGGTGTATAATCTATCATAGGACCAGAAATCAAAATGGAAATTTTACTTCTGGTTGGGTTTGTAAATAGTTCCCTTTTTTTGAAGACAATCTCATGTTTTATAACTTTTCTCGTGGGTCTGAGGATCACAATGGTAATGTGTTGTGTCAAAATGTAATCTTAAATGCAATGATAATTATAAGTTAATTTTCCAAATAAGACAACTAATATACTGCTTAGGCTTCTATGATTCTAAGAGACATGACACTTTTGTAGTAATAAACATTAGTACTTAACTTCTCAAGTTAGCCGAACTGGAAATATTTTACAAGATACAGTGTTTTGTAATCACGAAGAACATGAACATTTTGTGGGAAATGACCTTGGTTTTATACATTGTAGCTTATTTTTTAAAATACAGTATTTTACCAGACAGGAAGTGTTAATATTATAAGCAATTCCTGCTCTCCAAACAAAGGGCTATGCCTCTTATAAGCAAAGTGTTTTGATGTATATCTTTTCAATTAACCCTCTGCAACAAAGGTAGAAATGCAGATTTGATAGAAAGCCAATTACAAGAGAATCGAGATGACAATGGCTATTTCCTCTTATCATTACCTGTGTGTTTTCAAAGTATTATAGAAAAGACACTTTCAGAATCATCCTGTACACCTTAAATCTTTAAATGTCCCTAGATGTGCATATAGGCAATGGGAGACGTATTCTTATTAATTCTTTAGTATAAAATGGTAGTCTATCACAAAGACAAGTTGACTGTTTGACTTGCTGGAACCAAAAACCTGCCTAACTAGCAAGTATCATTTGGTGGAAATTTCTAAAATCATGGTAGGTAAGCCCAGAGATAGGATTCTTAGGTGATTAGTAGTGTTTACAATAATTTGCCCTCAGCACTACGTAAATAATTTTAATTTCTTTATCAGAACAAGCACTTGATTTTTCATGCAAAAAATTTACAGACATGCAAGGTAGAGATCAGAAAGTGACCGCTTTCACAAGAGTCAGGAAACAAGATGGGGAGCCATGGACAGTTTATTAACTGCACAAATAATTCTGAACTTTGCCAAATCCATTTCATAGTGCTGTACAATTTTTTTTCCCTAACCCATTCACTGTTAAAACAAAAAAGCATCTGTTCTTTCTAAGATTTTAGTCATTTAGGCTAGGTTAATTAGCCAAGTATGCAGACAACATCAAAGGGAAAGCTGGGATAGAATGATCATGCACCCATTGGGCAATCCTATGAGTGGTCAGAGGGTCCTTCAGATCTTTATGTCAAATGGGCTTTAAAGAAAGTATGCACACATGAGGACTGGAAATGCACGAAGTTAGATGAAATATGTGCAGCCATGGCTCCCGGTCTCAGATGAGGCAGTCTGCAGATCTCTATCTTCATTCCCTTGGAATATCTCCACTGTTAGCATTCAGTTCCCAAGGAGTGTTTATTGCATATGGTCTTGAACCAACTGAGTCTTGTTTCATCTTTAAATAGATTCTTCCTAATGGTGTATAGCAGATGCCTCACGGGCAGGTTCTGTAAATGAGCAGGTCAGATCAGGCAAAAGACAGGACAGTAGAGAATGGTGAAGAGCACATATACCCCCTTGAAGGGGACCCCACACTCAGCTCTAGACAATCAGCACCACTCAGAAATCAGGCTCAGGGCTGCTAGTTTTTCTAAATTGGAAATATGGTATTACATGAAATCTATATGTTGACAACTCACTCAAATTCTTGGCCAACACTGCAGACCAAAGAGAACCCGAATGTGGGCAGATGCAGCCTTTGGCCACTAATTTCATTTATTGGGGTTTGCAGATTTCACATTCCGTGACCATCACATTCTCCCCTTTGCCCCACAAACTCATGCATTGGCATTATCTGGGCAACTAAAATCTCCAGAAATGATTCTCATGGAAGACTTGACTATAGACATGTCGTATCTTTAAGCCTTTCCTAAGTGTACTGAATTATTATCCAGCTCTTAACGCTTCTTCCTTCTGTGCCCAGACCATGCCCCAAAGCATTGAATAACTGTAATCCTAACTTTATTGTTTTCACTACCGTGACCACTGTGATGAGGGGCTGGCAAAGAGCAGCCTTGTGCCTTCAGAGAAGGCAGCCAGGAGCCACTAAAGTTTTAAAATAGCACATATTGCCTCCTTGTGCCAAAGCCCTTTGCCACCCCCTCCACACTCCTTCCTGCTCCATCTGCCTCATAAGATTTCATTCCAGTGTAAATTTATTGTTGTTTCACCTCTGATATGGCAAAATGCTTGCTTCGGAACTGGTAGGCACTTAGGTATTCACAGTGTCCACTAACCTCAAAGTGGAGGTTTTTTCCGCATAAAAGCCCATTGCATCTTTAAGAGCAAATACAAATAAACATGTCATAGAAGAAATTAGAAGTTGCTTCCTGTATTTGAATGGACTGAGTTTTTGGGGTTTTTTGTTTTTTTTTTTTAATTATCCTATAGCTGAGTCCTGGTAGTATTGGAATAATCACAAATCCTTTCATATGTGAAACAAAGTATGTCTCTTTTGGCACATTTCATTTGCCCTTATAAGGACCCAGTGGTGAAGGGAATATTGAAGATCACAATCACCACCTCCAAGGCCAACCAGGAGTAGTCTTGAACTTGTGAGTAAGCTCATTACTGCCTGCCAGGGAGGGAGAGGGCTTAACTAGCTGGCTCAGACCTAACCTTCTAGAATGACTAGATCTGAGAAGATGAGGGACCCATCATGTGCTTGACTCACATTTTCAGCTCATATCTTAAGCATGAAAGTGAAGAGCCCACTCGATTTCATTGTCAAATCAAACCTAATCATGCTCAAACAAATCCCTCTACTGTAGTTACCATACCCCTATTCCTTAAGACTCAACTATCTAAGTGGTTAATTATAGGAGTTTATTAGCTAATTCAGTGTTCTAAGTAAAAGCTTTGACTCCTATGGGAACAAGTTATTTGGCTGCTAACAACCAACCCATTAGTTATCCATGCAAACTTAAATAGATGCCAGAAAATTTAAAAACAGTTTAAGTTTACAATCTGTAGTAATGAAGTCAAAAAGTCCTATCAGATTTGAAAACACCTGGTAATAGGGTTCAGTCATGTTAAATTATGAATACAATTTAAACAATTTAAATCTCTGGCCGTGCCTGAGATTTCTGTCATTGTGAGTGATTAAAAGGCAGTCTATTTTATGAATGGATTTCATCTTCCCACCTTCCATCAGTGTACCAGCTTTCACATCTGGACTGTAGGTAAAGCCTCTTTAGGGAGTTTAGGCATGGAGCTGAAGGGAGCCTAAATCATTTTAGTCTGTCACCTGCTTTGTTAACAGGCTTTTTGATAGTGATAATTTTGTTATGTTTCTAAAGAGGTACAGTGATGAGGGAAGAAACAGCTGAATTCTTCCCTCCTCTGCTAGAAAGGAAGCCCATTCTGCAGTGGTAGCAGGACTTAAGGAAGAAAGCTACCATTCCAAAAGAGGGCAGTTAGATTTTGAAAGAAGGTGGAAGTTGGATTAAATTGTAGTCCTTTGCTTTACAAACTATTCTTCCATATTGGAAACCATCAACATAATTATTAACTACCACCTTCCAAAGAGAAGATTCCCTTTATAATAGGAAAATCCTTAAAAATCAATTTTTGAATCTAATTAACGATTATATCTCCTTACTAGGAATTTAATTCCCTAAGTCTTGAATTCAGAAAACCACAGTAGGAAAGTAGCAACTCCTGGAAAAGATAAGAGCTGCCACTAAAGAAGGAAATTTTCTTTTAAAAAAAGTTGCTCATCTGTGTGCTTCTGAATTCTCTACACCCCTCACTGGAAAGGGAAACTAGTACCCTGGAGAAGAAATTGAGAAATTAAGAGAGAGAACAGTCCCCATTGTGGCTATTAATGTTGCTTCCTTCCCCATCTTGGCTACCACATCACATCTGCTAAGTGAAATGTTATTCTACCATCTCTGACTTCCGCTGCCTAAGCCAGAAACCGGCCTGTCACTATGTGTGTTCGTTGTCAAAGCCCTGATTAAGCATCCTTACTTCTGTGCTGCTGATTTCTCTTAAATCCAGTTCCAATGGAATACATGTTACCATGAATGGTACCTTAGGTTTCATCAGCAAGGTTACCCCTTTCCTTTAAGGAAAAGTTTCCATCTGCTTGGACAATTTTTGGTGATCATTCAGAGAGCAGGTCGGTGAACCTACAACCTGCCATGCTCATCACAAAAGGTTGGTTCAGGGTCCCTGATAAGGAATAACAAGGCAGGTATCCAACCCTTTCACCCATTTCCAGCTCCCTCCATGTGAGAAGCAACGGAATAATTACAACCAACACCTCACAGTGTGAGGGACCAGGAAGGACAAAGGAATAGCCTCCAGGCCCGGACCTCTCCCCACAATTATAGAACTTGGAAACTGAATTGGCCTCTATTGTGAAAAGAAAGTGGCTCCTGCAGCATATAATGGTTTTATATTTCTGGAAAGAGAAAAGGACAACTCCAATTGACTCATGTTCACTTAAACACTTATCCCTTGCCCAGTGGGCGCCCCCCTCCCGTGTTTTGGGCTGAGATGGCTGGCCAGAGAGGAAAGAGAGTGTTTTGGGCTGAGGCTCCAGTTACCCCTCAGGGATCTATGGTGTAGCGTGATCATAAGCCACTACCCCTCAAAAAAAGAGTGCATCACTTTGCAGATTACAAATCCTTGCTTTGCTTTTTATGCCTTTTTTCCTAGACTCTGCTAATTGGACATCAACGACTGTGACTTGACCAAGCCCTGTGATGATAGCAAAGCCCTTTCTTCCAAAGTTTCCCAACTGTTTGGGAAACCTCTGTGATCACTGGTAGAAAGCTTTAGAGTAGATTTAGATTTTTAGGGAAATACCCCCAAAATATACTTGTTCTATGACTTCGAGAACTGAAAATGCCACGGGTGTAAAATCACCCAGGAATGTGGATCATCTATGTTTTTTTTTTTTTTTTTTAGTGCCATTGATCAATATTTTCCTACAACATGCCTAAAATTCCTATTTTTGTAATGAATGGTTGAACAATGGTCGACCATTTAAACATACACTTTCTGGAATAACCAGACTAGTGTAGTTTCCAAAGTATCTCATGTATCAAAATCTATATACTTAGAAGAAGAACTCAGGATAAGAAAAAATTGCTAGGTCCCAAAGGGTTCGTGACTCTCATCAAGTGCAACTACTGGTGGCCTGCAATCTTTTTTTAAATGAGGGGCTGAGGAGTAAGAGAACAAGTTATCACCGAACCTCGGTTGCCCTTATTTCACGACAAGGTTTAAAAAAAAAAATCTGCTGTAAAAATTAAGCCATCTTTGATTTCCTGTCCACACCAAATCTAAAATATTAAAAAGAAATTAAGACATATATTAAATGGAGTATTTAGTGGAAATGCTGTCAGTAGAAAGTATTGCTTTTTAGTGCCTGCTAAACAAGTAAGGGGAAAATGCTAGAGACAGAAGCAGTCCTTCCTGTAAGATGCTAATGTTAAAATGACAAACATAAACTTGCAATTGGGCAATAATCCAAAAACAATGTGGCAATTCTATCCAACTTTTAAAATACAATCTTACTACCATTTAGAGGTAAATACTTGCTTACAAAAGTCTTTAATATTAGTGAATGAATGTATGAAGTTACAAACTATGCATTTTCAAAGAGTAACACGTATTTTCTATCTAATCCAAGTAAATTTTTTTCATAGAGATTTATCACAACAGCAAATTATTCAAAATAAATGTGAATGAATAATGTTGTGGGGATGTAGAACTCCCTCCTATATTCTTCTAGCTGATGTTTTTAAAGACAGTGCATTGAAACTTCAGGCTCTAAACAAATGTAGTCATTAAGGTGAATAAATGGAAAATCGGAAATATTTTGCTTCTTAATCATAAATGGGAAATGTTATAATATGTACCCAGTTCTTTAAAGGTGGATGTTCTAGTAACCCTGAATTAACAAGTAAATGAAACTGCATAGAGTTAATAGTATTGTGTTGGATAAAGAGAGCATAGGCGGTGTCTGTTGTGTTTAATCTCAATCTAAGGAACGAAAGTATTCTTCAAAGGGGTTGGGTTATATAATTTCAGAAAACAAGGTATAAAAATATTGTCCAGCAAAGCAAATCCTTGATCCTTTTCAAAATATCATGGAGATGATTACTTATATTTTGGAAAACCCCTATAGAACATACATACATTTCTTCAGCCTTCTTGTTGATTTTGTATTTCCATAAACTTTTCCCCTAATATTTTATCTTTGCTCTTAATCAGTGCTTTACTGTTCAGCATGAAAAAATATTCTTTTCTTCCTCTGACAATGTGGAATACAGAACTCCATTTCTCTGCCATTCCAGTTCACTTCTAGGTCCATTGAGAAAGTTTCTCAAATGGTTGTATGTAAAATAGGAGGAAACACACCTCTAAACCTGGTACTTATGATTATACTGGATAAGTTTGCTACATATTTAGTAGTTACTGGGAGCGGGAATATGTCTTTTTATATGATTTTTAGCCAAATTCAGATGTTCTGATACATTTCTGAATACCTATTTGACTGTAAATACAGCCTGTGGGGGTTCAGGTTAATAAATCTTTTACATGACTGTTGCTCAGCCATGCTCCTTGCCAGCTTTTGGCACATTGTACATAGATTTGTTGAATGTTTAAATGATGTTGTTTTTCTAAATGCTGTTCTCTAAAACTTTTTGAATGTTTTTTGCTTTCCATTGTTTTTGGACTTTGTGTGTTGGTTTAAAAAAAAATGTTTCCTAACTATTTAACACCAGAAAAAATATTTAAATTAAACTGGTGCTAATTGAAACAAGAAAACTTTCAGACAGAAGATTTACAATATAAAATGCTCACACCAGTTAAACTAAACTAAACTGCACTTTCCTAAGGGGACACCTGGCATCTACCTGAAATGGGCATCAGGAGGACCACTGAATGTTTACAGTTTCTGTGGCCCATTTACATGTAAAATATAAGTGGTTCTGTCCCCCCAAGAGTTGAGGATTTGCTGCATTGGTTCTATGGAAGCATTTAAGTAGAAGTAAATGCTTATAGTAAGAATCACTTTAGTAATAGTCTTCTGGTCTTTGGACTTTCATGTTCTGTAATGCTTAGCTGTAACAATGAATATGGTGTCGCCGATCTAGTCTGACATCATCGTTGACCTGTACTTACTGTGTGTATGGTTCTACCTTGGGTTGCACTGGCACATGCCACGCCAGAACACTGGACTTGCGATAAGACCATTCTGACTTCTACAGTGTCCACACACATGAATTTAAATGCACTTGTACCTGGTTAATTACCATGGAGTCTAACTTCCACTTAATAAAAGTTTTTGTGTATCTGCTTCTATTTGGGAGCTGTTTGTTGAAGAAAAAGATAACTAACTTGTATCCAAGAAAGGTTCACAGGGGATGGAGAGTTTGAGCTTTTACCTATATTTTTTAAAATAATTTAAAACCAAAGGGAGATCTTCCCCAAATCAGCTGTTCCCCCAATAATGACATCTCAAACCCAGGCCCTTAACCATGACCACCCAGATATGGTAGCTGGTGCCCCTGAGTAGTGGTTCAATTGTCCAAGCATGTAGATACAATGTGGCAAACAGAGGAAAGACTGTCCATTCTGTTGCCAAAGCCACCTGAAGACCTTCCCAAGGCCCATAGGCCAAGGCTATGTCCACACCCCTTGATATGTTCACCTGTAACTGCCAAGCATACGTATGTGTGAAGCAAAGCAGCAGGCACTGGAGTTCAACAGATTTGGACACAAAGTTGAGTTTTGCCTCTTGCAAAGACAGTTTACCTGACAAGTGGTTTAAACCTTGTAAACCTCATTCCTATAATGGGAATGCTAATAAAAGAGAATCTAATGGTCCTGATTAGACAGTATCTTTATTTCTAGTTCAGTCAGCCTTAACCAAGGCAGGGAGGACAGTGGCTCATGGTCTGTTTCCTCGTCCAGAGACGTTCCTACACATCACAGGGTTATTGTGAGAGTGCCTGAGATAACACGTCACTGTGCACAGAAGGCACTGCTCACATGGAAGCCAAAATACTCAAAATCTGGAACCCAAAGCTCTCTAGGATGTGTGCCCCAAAGGCTAGCATTTTATCTTTTCAATTTCTTGAGAAGATGTTCTAAAATAAAAACGCCCTGCCTTAATAAATGGCTTATCCACCACAGCTAAATGTTTTCTTGGCTACGCCTGGCCATCATCATTCACCAATTAGAAGGAGCAGCATAGACAGAGATTTTTCAGCTTGGCCCATAAGAGAACTAGAGAGGTGCAGCCAGCCCCCACACACCTCTTTCTTCCACACCATCTAGGCCCCAGCCAACTCATGGTCATGGAATTTCTATGATTTTCTCATGCCCAGCACAGAGGACACTGAGCTCTTAGACATTTCCTGAGCTGCCATTGGTCATGAGATGGACAGACTTTGCTGAGCGTGACAATGTGATGAACGCTTTTATGTCTTCATCTCATTTAATTCCCACAACAGTTTTGTGTGTGGAAAATATTCCCATTTTGGGGAGGAGTGCAAAAAAAAAATCCCATTTTATCCAGAAAGAAACACCTTCAGAATAGTTAAGTAACTAGCACAAGGCCACACAGTCCTGACGGATGCGATGTCCCCCACGCCTGGCCCCACCCAAGCGATGTTCTATTTTATTGAGAGGCTATTAGTATATGGTTTCATTGTGAATTATCTCAGGCAGAGCAAATCTCTTTTCCCTGTTAATTGGCATTCCTCCACTTTCCAACCAGGTGTGGGTGCCTCTCCACCCCCTTGTTGACTCCAGTTCCACCTTGTCTTCCCCACGCTTTGCAACTCTTCTGACTTGAGTGTTCTCCCACAGCCTAGAACCACTGCAGGGAAAGCACGACCCTGACTTCACCTTCCAACAGTGGCCATTCTCCTTAGACTTCCCTCAGGGCGTCTGCCAGACCCACAGCCACACCAGATGCCGTTTGTCCTTCAACACAACATGATCACCCTCAGGGGTTCTGAAGCCTGCAGGGCTCCTAGACAGTTAATTGACTTTTACTGCCCACCTTTTTGCAATATAGAAATTCCATAAATGGGGCCTCCCTGGTGGCACGGAGGTTAAAGGCAGTGCTATCAAGCTATCTGCAGCCACTGCAGCACGAGTTCAATGCTCAGGCAGGGAGGTGACCCACATGGTGCAGCAGACCTCCCCTGTCTTGCTTGCTGCTCCCCTCAGCAGTGTGTTTCAGTAGATCTGCCTGTTCTGTTCCCCACTCTCTTTGGTGGATCCTCTCACCCCCTGCACCTCTGGCTTACATCTCAGTTCTTATATGCATAAATAAATAAATCTTTTTTTAAAAAATCCATAAATGGTGCTGAAAGTACCTATACCCGCTTCTCCAGCTCCTTGGTCCCTCCAGAAGAAGTTCTCCTCCTGCAAGAGCTGTTTTGAGAAGCCAGATTGCCTTCAGGGGTGGGGAATGGGAGAAAATATTGAGAATCTGAACTGTAGATGTTGTCCTGCAAAGTGTGTAAATCATATATCTGCAAAACAAATTTTACCAAATGCTTACTATTTAAGGAGACACTGCAGCAAACAGCCGATGAAGTAATGGATGTTTTTCATGTAAAAAGGAAAGCTACCTTTCTCTCAAAATACCCTCTAAGAACTTACATTTCTTGGGGGTACACACTATGTCCTTTCTGCCGCCTCCAGTACCCAGTCAGGTATCTAACAGGTGATCAATAAAATTTTTAATGAATGATGGAGCAAATTATACAGACATAACATTTCTTCAGCCTTTACATATATTTCTGCTTTCAGTTTCCCATTGCTTGAACACAGGCAAAAGAAGTGAGCAAACATTTTGAAAACTACCATAGATATTTATTTGTTCTCAGAAGTATTTTTTAAGTTTCTTTGGACTGTGTTCATTCTCGAAATTGCCAACTCCAAATGACTATATTGATTACCTAATAATTACCCAATGTAGGATAAAGTATATAGTAACATACACTACTTTCATGTAGAAATTCCTTGCACATAGCCAGAATTTAATAAACATCTGAGTGAAAAAACTGAATGCTTCTGAATGAAATAAATTGCAACATAGGTCTGTGCCACTGAGAGCATGCAGAGTAAATGGAATGAGACTGCTAGGATTTAAGTTAATAACACAGGAGAGAAAATCTAGGCTGGCACCAAGACATAATGATACTATTTTCTGATGGGGAAATGAGTATTAGAATGATTGTTTATTTGTTTGCATCTAAGTAAATATATAGCTTTTTAAAAACAGGGTAGTAAAAGTTCATATTGAGAGCACGTCCCTACTGCTCTGCCTCTTTCCACAACTTCATCCCTGGGCACCAGAAGCAGCCACTTTGGGGTTTTTTTGTCTGTTTTCATTTTTGTACGATGTATGCTTTCTCATCTCGGTTAGAGTCCCCATGAAATTCCCACCACCCATTCACCTGTGTACCATCACCATAGTCCCTTGTGCTCTTCCCACCCCTGTTTTGATCCTTCTTTCTGCCCACCACTGTAGAATGTCTCTGGTTTATAGTTGCTTCTTGATTTTTATTTTTACCTTATTATAATAACTTTTTCCCCTCTGATCCCTTATTTGGATCCTCTACATTCCCCCTGTAAGTGAAACTATCAGGTATTTTTCTTTTTCTTTCTGGCTTATTTCACTGAGCATGATCACTTCCAGCTCCATCCATGTTGCTGCAAATTGCATGAGTTTATCTTTTTTTGATTGCTCAGTAATATTCTATTGTGTGTGTGTGTGTGTGTGTGTGTGTGTGTATACACCACATCGTCTTGATCCAGTCATCTATTTTGGGGCATTTGGGTTGTTTCCATACCTCACCTATTGTAAATAGTGAGAAGCTGCTACTTTGAATTCATCTAAATTTCTTTTGATATTTGACTTCATTTTCTCTAAATTATATGCAAATAGTGCAGATGAATAGAAAAACTAGCACAGGTCAGGGCATCAACACCCTCAAGAGCAAGAGAGATAGGGCTGAGCGTGAGGCTGCAGAGTGTGCAGAGACAGCAAAGAGCCTCACCCAAGGTGCCTCTGTCAAGATCTAATGTTCCAAGCAACACAAACTTCTCCCTGGATGTCAAGATGCTGGCCCACTGGCTGAGCTAGGAGACTCTCATGAGTTTTCTGGCTATAAATCAATTCCATAAAGCATGGTAAACCCTGAGTAACCTGAAAACAATCAAGCATTCTGGGCCTCCCTGGTGGCGTAGCAGGTGGAGCACAGTTCTTTGAAGCTGTCTGCAGCCTCTGCAGCACCAGTTCAATCCCCAGCTGGCCAGGGAGCTACCCACACAGTGCAGCAGACCTCTCCTTGTCTCGCCCCCTCAGCAGTGTATTTCAGTAGATCTGCCTGTTTTGCTCCCCACTCTGTCTCTGGTGAATCCTCTCACCCCCCTGAACCTTTTACCTGTACCCCAGTTCTTGCATGCATAAATAAATAAATCTTAAAAAAAAAAACAACAAGAAAGCATCCTCACTCTAATTTACACCTGCAAACTAGCCTCAGACCCCAGACCAATCAACTGGCTCGCAGGCTTCTCACCACCTCTTTTCATATCATCTCTTGATTTTCAATACATCCTTTCATTTTGCAGACTTCGCTGTACTTCCCAGCTCACCACAGGACAATATCATAAGGTAGATTTTACAAAAGGGCTCAATGCAAAAGTTGACACCTATTCACCTGTGACTGAACCAGTTCAACATATTTGTCTGACACGGTCTGTGGAAAGTAATAATCCCACTGAAACTAGATTAAGCAAACATAAGTAGGGGATTTGCTGAATGGATCCAGGGTGAGCCCCATGATCAGATAATGTTGACCATCTTTGTGGAGTCCAAGAACAAAGATGAAGGCAGCTGGGGGCAACAAGGAAGTCATGCTCCCTGCTCTTCCAGTCCCAGCCCCTCATCTGGCCTCCAGGGGGCTGCAGTTTCCGGAGTCCTGTCTTCTCTGTGGGATGCTTCTCTCTACATAGCTGCCTTCTTGGCTTCCCTTGGCATTTACATGGTGAAAAATGGCCACCAGATACTTTTATTGAACTGCCAGCACACGTGGCTAGAATCTTGGCAGGCCAATTCCAAACACAGCAATCACTGGCATAGCCTGTGCATGGATCCCTGCCCATTCTGGATATGTCTAGAGGCACCTCATTCCCACCTGATGCCCTCCAGCAGCTCTTACACACTCATTCTATCTCCCATCCCAGTGCCTTGGCCCTTGCTCTTCCCCCTGCATTTCATTGTCCTTTCTCCTGATGTCACCTCTGTACTCCATCCTCACCACGTTTTATCAGGCTAGCTCCTTCTCATCACTTCCTCAGGGAAGCCTCCCATCCCTG